CTGGAGCTGATTGTGGCTCTGATCATCAGCTTCTCATAGCAAAATTCAAGCTTAAACTGAAGAGGGTAGGAAAAACCACTGGGCTAGTCAGGTATAATCTAAACCAAATCCCTTATGAATACACAGTGGAAGTAAAAAACAGATTTAAGGAACTCAATTTGGTGGACAGAGTGCCTGAAGAACTTTGGATAGAGGCTCGTAACATTGTACAGGAGGCAGCAACAAAAACCATCCCACAGAAAAGGAAATGCAAGAAAGCAAAGTGGCTGTCCAACAAGGCCTTAGAAATAGCAGAGAAGAAAAGGGAAACAAAATGCAAGGTAGATAGGGAAAGTTACAGAAAATTGAATGCAGATTTCCAAAGAATAGCAAGGACAGACAAGAGGGCCTTCTTAAATGAACAGTGCAAAGAAATAGAGGAAAAGAATAGAAAGGGAAAATCCAGATCTATTCAAGAAAACTGGAGATATTAAAGGAACATTTTGTGCAAAGATGAACATGATAAAGGACAAAAATGGGAGAGACCTCATAGAAGCAGAAGACATCAAGAAGAGCTGGCAAGAATACACAGAGGAATTATACCAGAAAGATCTGGATGTCCCGAACAACCCAGATAGTGTGGTTGCTGACTTTGAGCCAGATATCTCGGAGATGGAAGTCATGTGGGCCTTAGAAAGCATGGCTAACAACAAGGCCAGACTACATATGGACTAGATGACTCTCAAACTCAAAATAAGATTATTGGAAGAAATATCAACAACCTCAGAAATGCAGATGATACCACTGTGATGGCAGAAAGTGAGGAAGAATTAAAGAACCTTGTAATGAGGGTGAAAGAGGAGAGTGCAAAAAACGGTCTGAAGCTCAACATCAAAAAAACTAAGATCATGGCCACTGGTCCCATCACCTCCTGGCAAATAGAAGGGGAAGATATGGAGGCAGTGACAGATTTTACTTTCTTGGGCTCCATGATCACTGCAGATGGAGACAGGAGCCACAAAATTAAAAGATGCCTGCTTCTTGGGAGGAAAACAATGAGAAATCTTGACAGCATCTTAAAAAGCAGAGACATCACCTTGCCAATAAAGGTCTGCATAGTCAAAGCTATGTTTTTTTCCAATAGCAATGTATACAAGTGAGAGCTAGACCATAAAAAAGGCTGACGGCCGAATAATTGATGCTTTTGAATGGTGGTGCTGGAGGAGACTCTTGAGAGTCCCCTGGACTGCAAAGAGAACAAGCCTATCCATTTTGAAGGAAATCAACCCTGAGTGCTCACTGGAAGGACAGATCCTGAAGCTGAGGCTTCAATACTTTGATTATCTCATGAGAAGAGAAGACTCCCTGAAAAAGACCCTGATGTTGGGAAAGTGTGAAGGCAAGAGGAGAAGGGGACGACAGAGGACGAGATGGTTGGACAGTGTCACCGATGCTACCGACATGAATTTGACCAAACTCTGGGAGGCAGCGGAAGACAGGAGGGCCTGGTATGCTCTGGTCCATGGGGCCACAAAGAGTCGGACACAACTTAACGACTAAACAACAACAAGATGAGTTGGACTACAGCTCCCATCATGTGAGCTGAGGGATGATGGGAGTTTTAGTCTAACACATCTGAGAAGGCTGCTCTCAACAATCCCTCTGTCTTCTGGAGATTCTCTCTTTTTCCTCAGACTGTGGAGTGCAAGAGGTCCCAACTAACCGGATTGTGGGTGGTGCTCATTCTGTGGAAGGAGAGTGGCCATGGCAAGCTAGCCTGCAGGTTCGTGGACACCATGTTTGTGGTGGAACACTGATTGCAGATCGTTGGGTGATTGCTGCTGCTCACTGTTTCCAGGAAGACAGGTAAGGGGCTGATGGGGAGGGGAGTTGAAGGAATGTTATGACTGAGGCTGTTCAGGTCACTCACTGACTATCATTTACTCAGCTAAGCCTTACATCTCAAGCCATTGAATATTTAATGAAGGATCATGTCTATTTATGCTTCTTTTGGAATCTTATTTGCCCAGTCTTGATTTATATATTTATCTTACATTTTTTGAATTAGAGAAAGACTACATTTCAGTTTGCATGTTGATTCAAGAAGTGAGAGTTAGGCAGGATCATATTAAAATGTGAATTGCATGTATTTCTCCCCCATCCATGTTACAAAATGATCCTGGATCTCTAATTATTCAATCCCAAAATCTCTGAGGATGATGATCTGAGCTAAGAATTCAAGAAGAGAATTCTGCACATAAGGAGCATTGTAACAAAGCTTGGAAAGTAAGGAGCTATCCGTAATCTAGTTAACTACATTATGTAGTTAATTGCAATGACTTACTTTTTTCACTAACAGAGATGTAAAGAAGTTACATTTCAAAAGCCATGTAATGAGTAGGTGTTCTGTATGGATTGGATGAGTAACGTTTACAATTTTTCCAAAATTACTTCTAAATGGAAGTTTTAGGGTGTTTGAAGTTTTTTGCCTTTCTGTTATCAATCCTGTTTTTTACAAAACAAAACAAAACAAAAAACCCAACCCCAAACAGAACAGAACAAAACACAAACATTTTCTCTCCCCAAATTATCAAAAAATTAAACAGCAGCACATTAAATCACACCACACAACATATTATTTTTTTCCACCGTTGCAATCCTTGTGGTGATGATTCTGTAACTTGGGTCTTACGAAAAGTAACATTTGTAAACTTGGAGTCAATGCAGAAAATAAATCCTTTGGTACAGGTGATGGAACAGCATCCTCCACTGCACCTGAAGGCACCAAGCCAGCTTACGAAGTCCAGGGCAGGCTGAGGGACAGACAGCCCTGTCTCCAGCACTTTGCTGCCACCTCCTTGCTGAAAAGACCACCACCACCCCCTTTCACCTAACAGCAAGGGCAGGCTGAGGGACAGACAGCCCTGTCCTCCAGCACTTTGCTGCCACCTCCTTACTAAAAAGACTACCACCCCCTTTCGCCTAACAGCAGGGCTGGTCCTAATGAAAGCCAGAGGAACAGTTGAGTGTCTGAGACCTGAATTTCTTTCTGATCCCTTTGCTTTCCAGCCATGCGTCCCCCACTGTTTGGACTGTCTTCCTTGGCAAACAATTTCTGAATGTCACCAGCCCCAATGAAGTCTCCTTCAAAGTGAACCGAATCTTGCCACACCCCTACTATGAAGAAGATAGCCATGACTATGATGTGGCACTACTGCAGCTGGACCATCCAGTGATCTATTCAAGTTTCATCCAGCCAATCTGCCTGCCTGCCAGCTCCCATCTGTTTGAGCCTGGCCTCCTGTGCTGGATCAGTGGCTGGGGGGCAGTCAAGGAAGGAGGTAATGTCTCTCTTTCTCTCCTCCCACCCTTTTGAAACACAGTTGTGGGTGATCGTGTGATAATGAGGCATCCTTAATGTTGCAGAAAAGAACAAAGATACATGTCTTATCTATGCTAGAGTGTCTGCTTAATCAAAACCCAGTTGCCTGCTCAAGTAGAAACCTAATTCAGCATTACAGGGGTGGCTTATAACAACAAACTAAAGCAGAATATAGTCTGCTTGACTAGAAGGGGATCTCTCCATCTCCCCCTAGTGGATATTTGCAAAAAATCATACAATAGTGATTGTGCTAGGATGATATTTTGAAATGGGGGTAAAGAGGAGTCTGGCTGCTGTGATCTATTTGCTTTCCACTGGAACCCTAGTATCCACCAGTCAGAAACAGGTGCAAATGATGTATTCTTAGAATTAAATAAGAGGGTGCCTTTGAATACATTCGGAGCACAGCAACTTATTTTCAGTGTCAGAAAGGAACTGTACTTTCACACAAAAATCCACTCCTGGTTACCTCAGGTACTCTTTGTCTGAGCAGCTTTTGGGAAAGTTATTCCATTGTTCAACGACAGGAAGAAACACTTTCCAATCTACTGCATACCATCCTCAAATGGATTCCGATCTGTCTTCAGTTCCTTTGCTCTTTAAAACCTCCAGTTAGTGGGCAGCTCAGTCACCTGAAAACAAGGCATCAGTCGTGCACAGAGCAATGTGAGAAATCTATGAGAAAAGTCTTTGTATTTTATGGAAAGAAATCTGAAATCAGAACCTTTTACAGATGCAACACAGATGCGTCTGAAAAGCAAAAGCTTAAATTTTTAGTAAAAAAAGTTAACATTGTGAATTTCAATCTTTTTCCTCATGAAATTTCCAGATTTAAACTGGGCTCGCACCGGATATTTTAACCATCTTCCTCCTCTTAGTTCTTATACAAAGGTTGACTCTTTTAGCATATTTAGCAAGTTAGGACATCTACATCAAAATATTTTTAAAAGCACCTTTGAAGCAAAAGTGAATTTAACACTTCGTACCCACACAGAGTTATGGGACATGCTTTCTTTGCTAGTCTCAAGAATTGTCTAGGACCTGGTGCAAAAGACACATATGGATAAACCGTATTTGGTATTGTGCAAATACATAAAATAAATACACAAGGTGGGGTAGCCTTAGTCTAGCCTTGCCATCCATCCATTCCCATTCTCTTCGTCTGAAGAGTAAGTTTGTGAACCTCTCCTATCCATGGGGACTTTCCTCATGATCCAGAACATTTATCTTCCAGAGTTCTAGATTACATGGGGAGTCTCCATACTTAGAAGAGGCCCTCCTCTTCACAAACTCAGTCTTCGAGAAAGGGGGATAGAAGTGACACTGAAGGGGCTGGGTTACAGCAATCTCCCTCCTCAAATTCTTATTTCACCTAAGCACTTTATTTCTTGCCTGAACAGGACTTTAGAATGGAAAGTTTCTGAGTGCAGGAATTTCTTGAGCACCAGAACTAAATGGAGCCCCACACTTCTTCTATACAAAATTCCAATCCTAGCTATTTTGAGCTTTCTTCATTCCAGCTGCATAATTTATGGTGTGGGGAGACATTTTGCAGCTGCTGTAGTTAAAACAATTGAGAGTCAGAAAAACTTGCCAGTCTCCCCTACGTAGCCTAGACTGAGCTCTACCAGTAAATCCTAATCTACAATCCTCCTATCACTCTTTCACAGATCTTTTCCATTTAATATATAAATCTCTGTAACGGAGGCAGGAAAGATGGTTCCAAGCATCAAGAGCTACATTCCTGTTTGTCAAGAAGTGGACCAGGCCTAGGATTAAGGCATCTTGAATATGGAATTTCAAATGAACAACAAAATTTCTTTCTTTCTTTGCATGCTAACCCTCTACTACCAAACCCCCTCTCCAGGTCCCACAAGCAAGGTCCTGCAAAAGGCAGACGTTCAGGTGGTGCAACAGGATGTTTGCAATGAGGCCTATCACTACCGGGTCACACCCAGAATGCTGTGTGCTGGTTACCATGATGGAAGGAAGGACTCGTGTCAGGTAACTTTCGAGCACTGATTTCCAGCCCAACGTTTTTCAGCCCACCTGTTCTTTGGCAACCTCCACAATACTCTGGCTTGAGGGTTTGCTGGGTGAGCTACAGTGTATTCCTGGAGATTTGGGGTCTAAAGCCCGAGACCTGGCAACTCTGTACAGACTGTTGTCTTAAATCTCTCTCTTTCTCTCTCTGTGTGTAATTACCATTAAAAAGAGGATAGAAAATATTCTGAGAAAATTCAGCAAAGAAGTTGTGATGGTTTCATTCCCCCTCCTGTTTGTTTTGGTCTATTGATAGTTACTGTGTAGGTGAGTTAGCTGGGAGTATAATAGAATGAATAGGTTGATTGACAGGTGAACGCTGGGTAAATGACAGTTAGTATAGTCATGATAGTTGGGGGCGGGAATAAGAACACGCCTACGCAGATCTCTGTTGTGATTGGCCTCCTTCCCCATTCCAAATGAGAGTGGGGGAAGAGAGAGTATAGAAGAGTGTGTGAGCATTTCAGATAGGACTGTCAGCTTATGTTGAATAGGATTGTGAATGTTAGACAGGGGATAAGGATAGGGATGAGTTAAGATGCAGACAGGATCCTGAAGTTTATTAGTATATGGTTTTGATTGGAAGAGATGGGCAGAATTGGAATTTGTTGAAATAGGTTTTTAACAGCTGCATGAACAGCCAATAACCTGTTTTATCATTGCTCTCACAATCATCATTTATTATGATGGCTGCTTTCTTACCCTTTTCTAGGGCGACTCTGGAGGACCTCTTGCCTGCCAGGAGCCAAGTGGGAGATGGTTCCTAGCTGGTGTGGTGAGCTGGGGAATGGGATGTGCACGCCCGAATCACTTTGGAGTCTACACCAGGATCACCAGTGTGATGGAATGGATGAAGCAAACCATGTCAAGTTGAAAAACAACGCCCAGTGTCTTCCTTTCCCTGCAAGATAGCACCAGCTGAGCTAAGAAGTCACCTTCAATCTTCACGACACTTTTCTTCTGCTCTAAATTGGGGGGACATTTCCTATCTGGCCCAGATCCCACCACATATTCAAGTGTTAGTCATCACTAGGGATGTTTTTGTGTGTGAACAGAAGGAGTTTTAGAAGGCCATGAAGGGAAGGTGGGACAGAATTGTCAAAAGAAACTCAGTAACTGCTTTGTCTTTCATAACAAGGACCAACTGAGAGGAACTGTTTGTCTCCCAGGGTAGTAACTGCAGTTTTATTTTTAAGACAGCCCAAAATGGATATCCTGACTCTCAGGAGGGTTAGTTACATCAGGTACGGAAAGTGGAGGTAGTAGCTGCAAGCCTTCCAGCTCTTTTTTGTCATTCTAAAACATAATTCTAAGTCAGAGTCAACAGGACATTCTAAGATTTGGGGGTGAGGCAGGGGACATACGCTGTTGCTGGGATAGGGAGTGGATGACCTTTATAGGACATTTAAGATTTGCATTCTTCCTATGTCAATTTGAAAAAACAGCCAAACATAAACCAACCTTATGTAATGAAGTTTTCTGTTGCCCAGACCTCAGTGACTCTTTTCTGGAGAAGGTCCCCATAACACACATACGACTGGGTAGGAAAAGTGTTGCTTCTCCTGCCAGCAGGTGCTGGATAGAACCTCCAGCTATGTTCCTGACAGCTGATTACCATTGAATGGGTAGGAGGTGGGCAGCTTTTCTTAGCTTTGAAGTGTCTCTGAATCCCCAACCTCCATTCCAAGGAGGCTGGAACAGGGTGGTGGAAGATCTGGGTTTAGAAGGACACAGTCACCCGAGCACAACCTGGAAGTTGTGCGCAAGCCTGTCATTCTGCATCACAAAGTGGCTCTCTTTTTGGGCCACACTTTAGCACAGAGATCTTCCCATATGTATTAGAAACCTGAATTCACTCCAGATATTTCAACATGTGCAACCTTTATGTCATGGACAAGTACGTTTACACACCAAAGTGCCACCAGTGTATCTTCTACGCGGCACACAAAAGCAGTTCTTAATACCCCCTGGTAAAATACTAAGAATACTAAGAATCGCCAGCTACCTGGTGATTCTTAGTATTCCAGCCAGTCATGATGGTTGTTGTTGTTTTACATGTTTTACATCTTGATCCTATGCAAATTCCTCCATTCAGTCAAAGTTAAGCACAACTATTTGAAAAGTGAAGGAATTGTTATGTCTGATTCAGCTATAATCTGCTATTGGTGTAAATGTATCAAACAAGGAAACTATAGTCATATAGTCCTATGAACAAGGCAAGGGGTCTGTAATAAAAAACTTTAGTCTGTACGCAAAACTACACCCTGCAAGACTTTAAGAAAAAACTAACATAAGGACACGAATTTGACACTGCATTTCTAGCAAATGTATGTCCTAAGAATTTTCAGCTATCAGTGGTTAACAGGCCTCTTTCAATTCCCTTCCCTCCTCAGTTGAATGGGAGAACAGAGACACATACAGGAATTTAAGAGAACCATAAAAGCATTTCTCTTAGATTTTCCAATGGGTCAGCTTGACTTGCAGGCATAAATAAAAAACTTTTTTTTAAAAAACTGGCAGAAGTATGTTTTCTGATCCTCATCAAGAAATGTAATACTGGAGAGATCTTGCTTTAGCACCCCAACAAATGGCACTTGGTCTTGGAAATAAATAAATAGTTTGCTCTGTCACCAAACAGCTATTCTTCAGCACTGAAATAGGCCATGACTATAGCTGGCTAAATAGAAGCTATGCCAGATCATTTCACAAAAGCATTTCTATGTGGGGCTTGTTGAGAAGTTAGTAGAAAGACTCTGGTGAGCATACAGCAGGCAGGAAAAGAAGCTGTGTGCTTGAAGATGCTAATACATGTGAATTTAGATACATGTGAATTTAGAATTCAATGCATTTAGAATTTAGCCACTTCTGTCCTGTAAAACAAATGCAGTTTGTCTCAGGGTTTTGGGGGTGTGGGCAAGACAGAAGGAAGACTTCAAATGCCTTTATGTAATCAACATTTTTCCATTCACTTTCCCATAACAAGGAGCATCTGGTTTGCATGATCAGAATAACAGGATATAATAGTATGGTCTGTGAAATTCATTCAGGAATTATTACATGGTATCCTCAGGAATAATTTCATGGCTACCATCTCAACTAAGAGAATTATTGATAGGCAAACTAAAATTGTTTGTCATTGTATGAGAAGTAAATGGTGTTCAGTTCGCATGAGATGCTCCAAGAAATTTCTTTCCTGAAATAAAGCTTGTTTATTGATAGGTGCATGCAGGCTCTGGGTGTATTCCAGCTTAATTGAGAGACCATTTCTTAATTAAGAGACCATTTCTTAATACATTATTGATTGCCACCATTGTGGAGATAAGAACAATGCAATTTGGAGATAGAAAATCTCTCAGCAACCATGCAGATGAGTATCTGCAGCCCTCAATAACAAAAGTGGGTGAGGAATTTATGCCAGGCAGAACCCGTAGCAATTAACACCTACTTTTGTCAATTGTATATTTATTATTGATAGTGTCACTCTGTCTGCAGCACAACTCCCAGAATCCCCCCAGGCAACATATTTTGGGAATTGCCCTTCATAAATGCTAATTTTATTTCCCTCAAACTCTAGGAGACAAACATCCAAAAATTACTTCTCCTTATTCCCTTGGCAATCCTAGTGTTACTCCCTTCCCCTGCTTGCTGGGTGGCACACTCGGAGCCCCTCATCATCTACAGGCAGTTCAGAAATGGAGGACCAATGGGACAAGTTGCAGCTTTATTCTCTCTTAATAATAATAATTGCATTCCGTCCGTCAGTTGACCCGTTCCACAGTTTTCTAGGTGGAGGAAGTGTTACTCCCTTCCCCTGCTTGCTGGGTGACACACTCGGAGCCCCTCATCAGCTACAGGCAGTTCATGAATTGGAGGAGCAGTGGGACAAGTTGCAGTTTTATTGTCTCTTAATAATTGCATTCCGTCAAGTCAGTTGACCCGTTCTAGTTTTCTAGGTGGAGAATACTCAGAAGTGGTTTCCTATTCCCTTCTTCTGGGGGAACCCTGAGCCTGGGCAGCTTGCCCAGGGTCACACAGGCTGGCTCTACTGGCAGGAGACACAGTGGGGAAACAAAACTCCCAACTTCTGGTTCCGAAGCCAGATGCTTAAACCATTGAGGTATCCAGATGGGGATATGACCAAGGAAAATATGGTGGTGTTCATGTGCAGAAAGGAGACAGCAGACATCTAAATGAAAGAGAATACTCTTCTTTCTGCTATCCTAATAGGCACCAGGAATATCACATAAGATGCACAGGAATAACTTCAGAAGCAACAATCTGAACAATTTATCTCAAGGCAGACCTGTTCCCAGGTAAGCACTGAAGGTAGACACATTAGAGTTTTTAACTCTGCTCATGACTCTCCTAATAGGCACCAGGAATATCACATAAGCTGCACAGGAATAACTTCAGAAGCTACAATCTGAACAATTTATCTCACGGCAGACCTGTTCCCAGGTAAGCACCGAAGGTAGACTACTTTCTCACATTAGTTTTTAACTCTGCTCATGACTCAGGATCAATCCCAGGTAGCTGGCTCAAGGTTCACTCAGCTTTCCATCCTTCTGAGGTCAGTAAATTGAGTACCCAGTGGGTAGCCTGCATAATTAAATTGTGAACCACCCAGAGCTTGTTTAAGTGCTATGGGGTGGTATATAATCTCTGCTGTCTGTAAAATCATCCCTGTGCCAGCAGTTCTTGGCTATTAAGGAGTTTCCCCTCTCCTTCCCTACCCCTCCGTCTTCCTGATGAGGAAAAGGATTCCATGGGAGCATCAGGTGTTTTGGGGAGAAATTGGAAATCTCTTCTTTCAAATAATAATAAAAATAATTGTGGCTGAAGGCATCAACTTACAGCAAAATAATTTCAACCAAGGACTTTTTACAAGGTTTAAAGTGCATCATGCAGATATGACTTTTGTGCAGCTATTGAACTCTCTCCCATGCAGCAAACCTGGAGTGAAGAAAAAAAATAAAGGGTCAGGACCATAATGGTTTTCATGTGATCTCTCCCAACAGGAAGACAGCGGGCACGACAGCAGGCGTGGGTGGCTAAGTCTTGGGTCAGTGATGAAGAACCATGTAGAACAATGGTCCCCAACCTTAGGTCCCCAGATGTTCTTGGACTGCAGTTGCCAAAAGCTCTTGCCAGTGCAACTAGTGGTGAATGCTTCTGGGAGTTGCAGTCCAAGAACGTCTGGGGACCCAAGGTTGGGAACCACCAGAACTTAGGAAAGTTACTTTTCAAATTACACCTCCCAGAATCTTGCCAGCTTTTGGAGGCTCCAAACATAACCACACCACCTGTCAGAACTAGAGCTATATTAAAGAATTACAAGTTCGACACCACAAATTTTTCCAAGAACACAAAATGCAACATGTAGAAGCTGTTGAGTTAAAAAAAAAGACAGCACACAAAACTATTCTAACTGATTGTCCACCCAGATGTGTTTTATTTTACAAAGTACAGTACAAAAATAAAGATTTAAACGTTAACATTAAAAAAATTATCATTATCAGCATCATATCCTGAGACATCTTGCTTGTTAATAGCTTAAAAAGTAATAATGAACAAAGGCAAAAGACAGAATGAAAGTAAAAAAAAAACACAATGAAAGATACAAACATGAAAAAAAAACTTGGTGGGTGGAAGCACATTCATAAATAAACCATGTGAGCAAAGAGCACCAGTTGTCTATAGAATTATGGGGTATTCAGTTAAGATTCCCACACAGCAGGTGAAAGGAGAAGCCTGCAATATCTAGGACAGAAGTGGTCAATTTTGTGGGGTTGAGATGTTGTTGGACAACACCTGTAGAGCAATGGTTCCCAACCTTGGGTCCGCAGATGTTCTTGAACTAAAACTCACAGAAGCCTTCACCATCAGCTAAGCTGGACAGAGTTTCTAAGAGTTGTAGTCCAAGAACATTTATGGACCCAAGGTTGGGAAGTCCTGATATAGAGCCACAAATTGGTCACCACTGGTCTAGTCTGGGATTATGGAATTTATGGTCCTCCAACTGTTTGTACTTCAACTCCCAGAAGCCCCTGCTAGCATGGGTGATGGCAAGATACTGTGGGAGTTGCAGGCCAAAACATGTGGAAAGCCAGATTCCTTACTCATCCTAAAGCCAACCTCTCCCTGTAGGTGGCGATACAAGGAAGCGCTTTGTAGGCAGAGCCTCACAGATACTCTACAATCTTTCTTGTAACAGAAAACAAAGCCCTTCCACACCCTGAGTTCTAGTGCAAAGGAAGGGACTGATATGCTTCCAAGTTCATGTGTTTTGTGGCTACAGAGCAAAGCCTGGGAATACAACTGCTTTAGACTACAACTCCCAGAATTCTAGAGCCAGAATGGCCATTGTTGACTGGTTATTATAGTCCTCCTTCCAAAAATACAATATAAAACAAAACCTTTCCCAAGCTTTGATGAACAGCTACAGTGCATTATTTGTTCCTGTGAGGCAAATATATTTTTTGTATATACAAAAGAAGGCAGACACGGATATTTTCATGCAAAGTACAAGGAACTATACCTTCCCTTCCCTTCCTTTCCCTTCCCAAAAAGAATCAGGCAAGGAAGAGACTTCATATGGAGAACTGACAGCAATTTCTATGCTCTTCCTTCTGTTCTGACTTAGTTTTGATTGTTCAGATCAGGGACGTTAAGAGCACTTAACTCTGTATTGGATTGCAGCCAACACCAGGACTTGGCCAAAAGTTTTGGCTTCTTGAAGATGCTAGTTACACGTTTCTAGTCCTCAAAGGGAGAAGAACAGTATTGCCATAGATAGACAATACCTGCTGAAAATGTTGATGGAGTTGTGAGGGAAGGGAGGGAGGTGGTGCAGATCTACTATGCTCAGAGCCTGGACATAATGAGTTACAAGCAATGTTGTTTCCTGTAACAAGCTAAACTTCCTCAGTAATGAATGTACTTTAAAAAAACTGAAGTTGCTTTATTATTAAACAAAGAAAGGAGTGAAGTTACTTTATTGACGTAATAAGCAACATTTTCTTGTTACTTTGCAAGAGCATTTTAGAGGAACTTTGACACAATTTTTCAAGTTTCATCAAACTTTTTTCAATCACAATTTTTAATAAAAAGTTGGAATACAGGAAGTTATGTAACAAATTATTTTTTAAACTAGGAATAAGGAACTCATGGTCCTTCAGTAACATAGAACTGCAAGCTCCTGTTATTCATACTATTGGCTCTTTTTTCCTGTGATTGATGGGACTTGTAGTCCAACAAATCTAGCTGGCCACAGGAGTTTCGCTCTTGGTTTGAACACTGTAATGATAATAAATTACTTTTGAAACACTAATCAGTAACAAGAATAAATTATTTTGAAACTTTTCCAAGCTCTAATGATGCCCTGTATAGTTTCCTCTCCCTTCCAGTGGCTCCTGGGCCTTCACTCACCATCCCACCATTCCCTAGGCCATGTTCCTTGGGCTCAGAAGGCAAGCAGTGCTACCAGAAACAAGCATATTAGCTAAATACATCTCTGGATAGAATAAGAAGAGAAATGTGGCATTTTGTGGTGCAGAACCTTTGTTCTTGTTGTTGTTTAGTCATTAGGTCATGTCCGACTCTTCGTGACCCCATGGACCAGAGCACGCCAGGCCCTCCTGTCTTCCACTGCCTCCCAGAGTTTGGTCAAATTCATGTTGGTAGCTTCGATGCCACTGTCCATCCATCTTGTCCACTGTCGTCCCCTTCTCCTCTTGCCCTCGCACTTTCCCAACATCAGGATCTTTTCCAGGGAGTCTTCACTTCTCATGAGATGCCCAAAACATTGGAGCCTAGCTTCAGGATCTGTCCTTCCAGTGAGCACTCAGGGTTGACTTCCTTCAGAATTGATGGATTTGTTCTCCTTGCAGTCCAGGAGATTCTCAAGAGCCTCCTCCAGCACAACACTTCAAAAACATCAATTCTTGGTGGTCAGCCTTCTTTATGGTCAAGCTCTCACTTCCATACATCACTACTGGAAAAACCATAGCTTTGACTATGCGGAACTTTAAGGGGCAGAACCTTAGGGGTTTTTTTTTTCTGTATCAACTCAGATGCAGCATTATTTGTTAGCCCTGGGGAACAGCCAGAGCGGATCAATGGAGAGCATGCATTTTGCATGCAGATGACCCCAAGCTGAGATGCTGCCTTCTTCAATTAATGAGCCCTAAGGAACAGAGCCAGAAAAATTCTCTTCTTGAGAATCCGGAGAGTGGCTGCCCATTAAGGACAAGCAGTACTAGGCAAAACATCTCATATGCTATTTTAAAAAGCAGCTACTTATCTTGACTGCTCAGCACTTTAAAGGCAGAGCAACCCACAATTCTGCATTTTATCCTCCTCCTCCTCCAAGATTCTGTACTCCTGGATCTGTAAAGAGGTAGCCTAGATTAGAAGACAAATGCCAAACAAGGATGGACTTGGGGTGCCCTCTCCCACTAATTCAAAAGATGCCAAGGTTCCTTTTTGGACTACAGGACCTGGGCACCTCCAAGCTGGCACCTCCAAGCAGCCATGCTGGCTGAGGATTCTGCGAGCTATAGTTCAAAAGATTGCTTTTTAAAGCTCCGATACTGCCCACCAAAAGAGTTCAAGAAAAGAAGCTGCTGGTGGGAATCATGCAGATTAAGTCTGACTGTGTGAACAAGGGCTGTACTTGAAAAAGAGATAGGGGAGAAGGAGGAAGATACCAGGCGGAACAGAGACCCAGGAAATAAATATAACTGAGAAAGGGAAATATTTAGATGGGAAAAGAGGAAAATTAAGTTACAAGCCAGGAGTGGATACAGAATCCTAATGTTTTAAGTTGACGAGTTTACTATAAAATTCAGCATATTTTTTTAAAAAAAGTTTACATCTAAATATAGCAGCTGCCGCAAAGAAATGTTCTTGTCCAGATATTTCTGATCCTTTGGCCACTGCATAGTGCTTGCTCCTGATGCTTGTGTTTGCATACAATCTCCCTCCGTGCCTCTCCACCAGCAGGAAGACGGAGGCTTGCCTTTATTTTTGACACCAACTTCCTCAGGGGTTTTCTGCACTTTTTTCCTCTTCTGCTTCAGCTGCTGCTTCCTCCTGTTCCTCCGCCACTTCCTGGAGTGGCAGGACTTGCTCCAACTGCTCTGGATCATCCTCTGCGTTCTGCATCTCAGGACACCATGGAAAAGGAAGGAAAAGGGTGGGGGGGGGAAAGCACTCACAAGGTCAGCCTTAATTATCTGAGCTCCTCTCTAAACTTTTAACAACCAGCTAGACAACTCATTTCCATTTGGGGCTTAGAAAACCAGCATGTCAGCTAGGAGACCGGATTATTAAAGTAGGGTGTCCCAGGTTCAAAATCTTGTTTCTGCCATCAACTCACAAAGCGGCCCTAAGGAAAGCCACTGACCCCAGAGTCCATCTCTCCATCTGCAATAACAGTAGCAGGGCTGATTAAACTGATCTGTCTTACAACATGGGTCTTACACCACAGGTAGGCAAAGTGTGCCCCCTCCCACACTTTGCCTTCCCCATCTTGCTGTGTTTTGTGAAGATTATTGATTAACAATACACAACAGTGCACGTTAATAGCTCTGAACACTTTACAGTACTTTTAAAGAACAGTATAACTTTAAAAACCAGTAAAAACTTTAAAAAGAACACTTTAAAAATCATCATATTTGCTAGAGCATGAACTTTGGGTATTACAACCTGTTTCATCAGATGTATAAAATTATCCCAAGCTGCTAGTGTCTATTCATGCATATGTTTGTGGGTGAGGGCAGACTGTAGGCCAAAAGGTCAAAGGGAATACAAGTAGTAGCCACTATTTATAGTAGTCTTTCACAAAACACTTTTTGGGTGATATCCTAAAAGTGATGAACTCTGTCAACCACATATAATGTGATTTAAGAAGAAAAAAAGGTTTCTCAGGTTGAAATCATAGGAGATGACTGTTATTCAGTTGTTTGGAATCTGTTTTTTATTTTATTTTTTTTTTAAATACTTTAAAGTGTTAAATTATTCTTCTGGAATTTACATGTCTCAGCGGAGGTCTGTGAGGTCCTAATACACACCTCTATCCAGAGCAGTTCTGACAAGGGATGGGACGTTTGGATTGTGAAAACCCCAGAATTCACCCAGAAACCACCACCATCCCCAGGCACAATTCGAGACGTAGGAAAAGCAAGGAGTTTTCAGAGCAGTCCTTCCTCCCTTCATGCCCTTCCCAGACCACTTCTGCGTGAACAGCAGAAAAGCAGCCCCGGTACACTATGGGAGGCTGTTCTGAAGCCTGCTTGCTTGGGGGCTCCTACTTCCAAAATTCTGCCTGGGGGAGCTCTGGATTAACTCTGGGAGTAAAAGTTCTAAAAATCCCATCCCCAGTTCCAAGCCAGGTTTTTAATCATAGACCTCTCTTTCTATTTGACTTCCATCTACAGCTTTCTAATGATGAACAGCTTCTGTTCCCAAACACCAGATCAGAGAGGAGCAGCCTTCAGCCCTCCAGTTGTTGTTAGGCTCCATCTCCCATCATCCCTTGCATCTCCCAACCAGGGCTAATGGGAGTTGCAATTCAACAATACTTGAGGGCTACAGGGTGCCCACCCCTGCTCTAAACAGTTCCAAGGCTTACCTGCTGTGGTTCAACCACAGCTTTTGGCAACCAGCAATTCTGATGCAATCCACCAACAAGGTTGTGTTCCCTTTACAATCTACAGTTAAGGGTCAGCATTGGGCCTTGGAACAACATTCTTTAATGAATGAACCAAAGGTTTGAAGCTAGATGCCATGCTTCCCATTTAATATGAAAACATAGGCCACAGTCCATAGCAGAATGGTAGGTTTTCACAAGTTGCCCTCTCAAAAGAGAGTACTTGGGGAAATGGGTCAATTAAAGTTCAGGATGTTAAATAACTGCCCTCACCTTAACTTTCCGGCTGAGCTCAGGACAGGGGCCACTGGGTGAGCTGCACAGCTCCTTTGAGACGACGCACAGAAACTCTGATTGGTCCTCATTCCCATAATTATAGGATGACCCAATATTCACCAGCTGGGAGGCAAAGAGGAGAAGAGGTTCATTATTGCAAGAGATGTAAAGTTAGGTACACTTGCCTATTTCATGGCTTTAAATAGTAGTAATAGTAGTAGTGGACAGACACCTTGAGCACAATATACCAGACATAAGAGTAATAAAAGGAAAATATATCTGCATAATTGACATTGCAATTCCAAGGAATACTAGAGTTGAAGATAAAGAGTTGGAAAAAAATAACAAAATACAGAGACCTGGCCATAGAAATAATTTGTTTGTGGGTGAAATACATTTCACTGGTCCCTTCAATCATTCAGGCATTGGGAACAATGCCACGTAATTTTATAAAATATTATAATCAGCTGCTAATCTCTGAAATAGTGCCACCAGAGTTGCAAAAAAAAATGGCAATACTAGGAACAACATACATATTGCACCAATATATAACTGATAGGGGTATGGTTAGAAATTGTATCTGTTATACAATACCAGTCAAAGACTGTGTCTTGTGTTTTTGAATAATACAATGAATATATCTGTTCTAAATAGAGGGAAAGGGGATAGGGAAATGGGGGTGGCAGATATATAGGAGCTGGGGAATATGGGAGCAATACACAAAATTCTAGCCTGGGAAAGGGGAATAAAAACACTATACAGTTGTGCCCCACTTAACGATTGCCCCGTATAACAACAAATCCGCTCCACGACCATGTTTTTGCGATCACAATTGCGATCGCAAAACGATGTTTTAAATGGGTTTTTTTCGCTTTGCGAAGATCAGTTCCCTCCTTCGGGAACCAATTCTTCGCATTACGATGATCAAAACAGCTGATTGTCAGGTTTTCAAAATGGCTGCCGAGTGCTCAAAATGGCTCCCCGCTGCGATTTTTGGACATTCCGCGCTCTACAGGCACCGAAAATGGCCGCCCCTATGGAGGATCTTCGCTGGAATGTGAGTTTTCAACCCATTGGAATGCATTGAACGATTTTCAATGCATTTCAATGGGCTTTTAAATTTCGCTTTACAACATTTTCGCTTAACGTCTTTAAGTGAGGCACCACTGTATACTATTTTCTGATAGGAAGCCTATCAGAAACAGTGGCTCTGTGACATGATTTAAAACCATTTTGGAATCTGAAGGTTATAATGGGACAGAAAACATTTCCCAGGCAAGCTCAAATACAAGACTTGCATGCTGGCATTAATTCAGGGCTAAAAAATATATGCCCTCCAGATGTTGGAGTCAGCAGAGCTAATGGTGAGGGATGATGGAAGGTGTCATTCAGCACGTGTGAAGGGCCAATGATCCCACCCATCTCTGAGCTTATTTAAAGCAGCTTTCACAGAACAGCTGTCTCTTGCACCTCGAGCAACACAAACCTAAAGGATAAGCAATGCATCGGTAAAAAAAGGGGGAGCTATACGCCACTGCAAACCACCTTGTGCTGAGTATTAAAAGTTAACAACAAAGTACTAAATACTATTCTGTGCCCTGTTTGCTTAGGTAAGATTTGGGAATATGGCCAGCATAAAAATGCACACATCATCAAATATAGAGAAAGCTCCATTAACATTTTATAGCCGCAGTCTTATGCATATTTATTACAGAATGAACCCTACAGAAAGGAGCAGGATTTACTTATGAGAAAACATGCACAGGATTGGATTATACAGCAAGTGTCTTACAGTATAATTTTGTATATCTCTCCTCCACAGTTATCTCCACTGAGTACAATGGGACTGATTTGAAGGAAATCGAGTATATAACAGCAGCAATAAATTAAGTGGTGCAAGTTGATTTGATAATCCTGCTGGACAGTTTCTAGAACAAGGGTAGGTCACTGGCTGTACAGACATTTTGTCCTACAACTCCTATAAGTTCTGCCCAGTGAGGTCAATGGCAAAGGATTCTGGGAACTGAACTCCAAAACACCTGAAGGGCCTGATATTTCCATACCCAATTAAGAACTTTATATCTCTTAGCATTCTCTCTTCATACTTATTTTGCAATGTATTTTAGAGAGACAGAGAGATAAAGATTTGTGCACATGCGTAAAGTCCTATCTTAAATAATATGATTATACAAACGTTTGGAATTGCTGCAACTCCTTGACCTAAGAGAAGGACCCTTATAGCTCCCTAATGTAGCCTCCTGGATCAGGAATGGATCTCCCCATCCAGAGACTACAAAGCACCCACTGACTTGGTGCAACTGATCGCTCTCCAACTTTAGCCCAGCTTTGCCAAATTCAAAGTCCATATATAGTTGGCAGTAACCACTCCCATCATCCTTACCTGTTGGCCATGCTGATTAGGGATGATGGAAGTTGTGGCTCATCAGCATCAGTCCATGTGTTAATTTTTTTATATTATTAGATTTATACCCTGCCCATCTAAGACAGATAGGCTACTCTGGGTGGCATTACAAAATTTAAAAACAATAGAACCAATGAAATGCAAAAATCCAAGATGTAAAAATGTTAATATTACAATATAGCAGGAGGGAAAACCTGCCTAAATAGCCATGTCTTAAGTTTCCTTCTAAAGACAACCAGAGAGGGAGCCAGGCAGATCTCTATGGGCAAGTTGTTCCAGAGACGAGGGGCCACCACCGAGAAGGCCCAGTTCCTCGTTCTTTCCTTCTGGGCCTCCCTCGGCGTTAGGCCCCTCAATCGCCCAGCCTGGCTAGAACGAGTGTCTCTGGCAGAACAGGGTGGGAGAAGGCGCTCTGCCAGATATTAAGGTCCTAAACCATTTAGGGCTTTATAAGTAATCGTAAGAACTTTGAAATCAATGCGGAAACAAATGGGCAACCAATGCAAGGGGCAGCGTGGGGAAAATAGGTTGGTGCCTCTTCACCCCAGTTGGAAGTCTGGCCATGGCATTTTGTACCATCTGAAGTTTCTGTGTCAATCTCAAAGGCAGCCCAACATAGAGCGCATTACAGTAATCTTGATACTACAAGCACATGGACCAAAGTGGTGAGCGCCCCCACATCAAGATAGGGATGCCGCTGGGCAATGTGCCGAAGGTGGAAATGTGCAGAACAGACCGCTGACGACACCTGGGTCTCCATGGTGAGCGCCGGGTCCAGATGTACACCCAAGCTGTGAACCTCACTCTTGGTGGTAAGAGTCACACACCCCTGAAAGGAGAGGGAGTTTCCTAGACCACTGATGTCTTGGGCACCCACCCAAAGGACGTCTGTCTTGCCCGGATTCAGCCTCAGTCCATTCTCCTGTATCCATTGTTGAAGAGCCCCCAGGCAGTGTTCAAGGGACAAGACAGCATCCACTATTGTTGGAAAAAAGGAGATGTAGAGCTGAGTATCGTCAGCGCACTGATGACACGAAGCCCCACATCCCGATGACCCCTCCCAGCGGCCTCATATAGATGTTAAACAGCATTGAAGAGATAATTGAGCCCTGTGGAACCCCACAATTGAGGCTCCATGGGGCTGAGAAACTCTCTCCAATCTGCACTCTCTGGGGACGGTCCTCCAAGAAGGAACGGCGCCAGGCCAAAGCCACGCCACTAATTCCCAACTCGGAGAGCATCCCCAGGAAGATACCGTGGTTGACGGTATCAAAGGTGGCTGAGATATCGAGAAGGACCAACAGAGACATTTTGCTCCTGTCGGCCTCCCTCAGCAGGTCATCAAACAGGGCAACCAATGTTGTTTCCATGCCATGGCGCGGCCTGAAGCCCGGCTGGAATGGATCCAGGGCATTGGTTTCATCCAGAAGAGCCTGTAGCTGATTGGCCACCACCCTCTCAAATATCTTGCTAAGGAATGAAACATTGGTGACGGGCTTATAACTACCAATATCGTCCGCCGCCAAGCTCAGGTTCTTCCTAATGAGCCTAATGAGGGTCTCCTTGAGGGTCTCCTCCTAATGGGTCTAATGAGTGTCTCCTTCAGGATCTCCTCTTAATGGGTCTAATGAGTGTCTCCTCCTGGAGAGACCCATTAATTATTGCTGTAGCCCATTCAGATGTTATAGGCCTGGCTGCTTTGATTAGCCAAGCCGGGCAAGGATCAAGGGAGGAGGTGGGGGCACGACAGCCACGTCAAGCACTCTGTCCACCATATCTGATGTCACAGGCCGAAAGTGGTTAAGTCTCATCGGGCAAGATGGAGAGCTGGACGTCTCAGCTCGATTTACTGTTTCCAAATAGGGGGCAAGATCCCGGCGGATGGCCTCCAGTTTTGATTTTTTAAAGGCTGTAAATTGGTCAGGTGAGATGCTAGAGGGAGACAAATCACTACAACCAGTTTCGGAAAGACTGCACACTATACGGGAAAGTTCCACCTGCTGACTGGAAGCTTGGCTTATCCAGACAGCAAAGTAAGATTGACTAGCAGCCTTCACCGTAGATTGGGAGAGGTTAGTATCAATCCTGACAGCTATTTGATTATTTTCCGTTGGGTTCCACCTCCATATGCACTCTAGCCTTCTCCTATTTTGCTTCATTAATCGCAGCTCTGGGTTAAACCAGGGCGAAGGGCGATCTCTCCGCCAGAGAGGGCGTTTAGGTGTTTGCCACAATGCTCAAACTTTGTGAGAAAGGGAGCTTTAAATCCACCAGTCCTCCACCCCAGCTTCAATCAAATTTAGCCAAATCATTCTCATTCTCCCTATCCACCCAAGCTTCCAAACACATTTACTAAGAAGACCCGCATAAAAGCTTAAGGAGCAAATCTCCCCCAAGTCATCTTTGTAACTGAAGCATTATTTCTGCCTCAAGTCAACCAGCTTAAAATTATGCAGAAATATGGTTCCTTAATTAAGTTACAAAGGTCTTGAAAAAGATCAGCTTTAGCGGGACCTGTTCAAAGACAGTGGAGCCCAACAGAAAATCCCTGCAGAGTCATGGAGCAGCATCAAATGGGAAAAGTTGCAGCGTTGGACTAAAACTCTGAGAATCCCACAAATAACATGGCTAAGGGTCATGCTGACAGTGGGGCTCTGGGAACTGTGGCCAAAAAAAGGAAACCCCATCCTCTACGGGAACAGTTCTGCTTCCCAGTACATTCCACCCCCTCCCCAAAATTGCCACCACCTCTGGTATACCTGTTCAAACCGCCATCCATCAGACATTGTGGAAACCATCTGCGTGAGCTCCTCCTCCTGACACTGCAGCACTCGGTACACATGCTTTGGAGGCACCTTGAATAAACAGAAAATACAAGCACACATCAACCACCCAGGCGGATCCTGCACTAAGGAATAGCATCAGAGGTTGCTTCTAGAGCCTGGAAACACTTATTTTCTGGACTACAAATAGCAGCCACTGTGCAGAAAGGTAATGCTTCTAAGTGCTGGTTGCTTCTGACCCTCCACATACAAGACAACAGATGAGAATGATCTACACGCAGGCAATCTAGAAGGCATCCAGATATTTTGGACTACAACACCCACAATCCCTGATCAGTGGCCAGGCTGGCTGGGGCTGTTATAATCCCACAGAACTGCGAAATCCCATAGTTTTAAGCTCACTAACCAGACCTGGTGTACATGGTATTGCAAGTTAAATACACGCTGGCTTGGGAAACAGTTATAATTAAGCAATAGTGCACATTCTCACCATGGAGAGCTTGGAGGGCTTCAGCACAAGCTAAGGCAGAGATGTAATGGTGATCTTTTTTTTCCCAATCCCAGCTATTTTTAACATTTTATCCCAGTGGGGATGGACCCCTTATGAAGAGATTTCCCAGAGTAAGAGTGAGGACAAATGCTGGGCCTTGTCTTCCCCGCCCCCTCTTTTCTTGCAGATTCCCTGTGCAAGGTTAAGATGGGCAGTCCTGTGGTGCTCAGGCCTGACGTATCACCTTGTGCAGAACCTTTGCATCTTTCTGATGCTCTTGTCACCCTCTCACACTGGTCAGTTTCAAATGACATTGTTAGTGAAAGAGTCGGAAATGGACAAGGGGTGCTGATAAAGAATCCTGAAGAACAGTGTTGGTTTCCATGCACTGGATTTCACAAAAAAGAAACTGAGGACATGGCGGGGGGGGGGGGGGAGGAGAATCCTGGAAGAAGGAAAAGAAAACACGGAAGATCCCATAGAAAACTGTGGGACAGAGAAACACTAGATTCATGACCCTAGGCAAGACTACATTCCTACCTAGTAAATGACTTTTTTTTGCATACTGCTATAAAAGGAACAAGAGCCCCATTAAAAGACTATTTCCTAGAAGCCCACTGCCAGTGATGATGCTGGTTAGGAAACGCTGGGAGTTGCGGTCCAACCTCCCCATATTTTCTCTTCTCTGTTCTTGTTCCCGCTCCCCCTGCAAATGATATTCTCTTTGCTTCCAAGCATTCCCAATGGACTCTCAAGAGTATCACTCCCAACAGTGGTTCTTTTGCCCTTTTCTATTTTGCAATTTAAAAATGGTAACTCAAGACGCAGGATAGCAAGCATTCAGAAATGAACACCATCAGTGCTCATTCAGCACTGTCCCTGGGGATGAAAGATTGGCCTGATTTCTCCCAGTTCTGTCAAGATTTGCTGCTTAGCAAATTTCACAATGTGGAATTTTAACATTTTTGTCACTTTGGGAGAGATGCAGCACCTTTTGATATCCATCTCAATTTCTTTGCTATCTAAAGACACACACACACACACACACACACACACACGCACACACACACCTCAAATAGACCTTGTGAAACCACATCCTATCACACCTGTGTTATAGTGTAGTCCTTTTCCTCCAGTCTGTCCTTTATCAGTCGAATAAGAGAGCCAATGTTGTAGAATTCAGCTTCTTCCAGCACCCCTAGAAGTAAAACAGGTGGAAAGCACAAGATATACAGGAATGAGCACAGAGCAGCTATGAGGTCAAACTGGGTTTGGTCTGTATCCTGGCTATCCCGTAACAAGAAAGCCTGTAAGTTCTAGAATTCAAGCTAATTGTGGTGAGAATTATATGCTGTAAATGCCTGATGATTAAAAAGATGAAATTCTGAAAGGCAACCAGTTATAAGCAAGATGATGGAGCACAAACCTGCACCCACATATGCAGAGTCATTCGAATTAAACTCAATTGGATTTATTCAATGCTGGGTGTGTGCCAAAGTTCTGTGGATCAGTTCCAGCACAAATACAGAGAGAAAGAACATGATCTGGAAGAAAAATTCAGCATCCTAGGAATCACAGCTTTGGGACATGGGCCTTTTAAAGGAAAGCAACATTTTTCGTTCTGCAACATAGGCAACCACTCCTGAAATGTCAAAAGCCAAAGAGTGAGTTGAATACGACTTCTGGAAGTTGAGGGACAGAAAACCAAAAGCCTTCTCATGAATAGCTGAAACAGCAGAACTAATTACACAACATGGACATCATGTCTTATTTTTTTGTCAGCCAAGAACTGCCCACAGCCATCACCAGGGACATTTAGGACATACCACAGCCGATGTGAAGAGAGAGAGCAAGTCAAACAATCTTTACATTATGAACAAGCAAAAAGCCTGCTAGACACAACAGAGGTTGCCCAAGCTAGCATCATGCATCTAGGAAGCCCAATACATATAAAAAGACCAAGGAAATAAAAAAATAACCAATTACTCTGTATTGCTCGCCACCCAGCATTTAGTGTTCAGAAACAAGGCATGTTCAAACATGCTTATAAAGCTTTTCTTATTCAGGAAATCTGCCTGATCAGGATTCTTGTCATGGGGAGATTTGTAAACAGGGCCAGTTGAACTTGGCCAAAAACCACTTTCAAGACAACATACAAAATGTATAAAAAACACTAAGGAAGGCTAGGCATAGCTTGGGACATAGCGGTTAGGATTGTGTGGACAACCACACTTACAGGTGAGGAAGATTGTCTTTGGGGGAACCCTGGGAGCTGCCCTCCAAGGAAAAATTCTGTTTTCATCTGCCCCCCCATACGCCTTCCCCAATTTAAACCTTTACATATCAGAAATGAATATTTATTTATTTATTTATTTATTAATATCATTTGCAGGCCCCTGTTCTCCTGATGAGAGGACTTGGCTGACAACATTAAGACAAGCAGAATTAAAAAACACAGTATTTTATGCTCTAAAAAGGATTTAAGCCACAATAATAATTAAAAATACATTACATGATCAAAAACATTTAGAACTTTGAGAACACACTAAGCTGAAAACCAGAATGCAGTTTATTCAGTTACTGCATTAAAAGTCTGCCTGAAAGGTGGGTCTTCAGCTGTCAGCAGAAGGAGGGGCTCCAATCTAAAGGAGAGCATTCAGTTTATTCGGTTATTAAAAATCTGCCTGAAAAGGTGGGTCTTCAGCTGTCAGCAGAAGGAGGGGATCCAATCTAATCTCCTAAAGGAGAGCATTCGACCATCTGGGAGATGCCACAGAGAAGGCCCTCTCTTGTACTCCCATTAAATGTACCTGTGATGGCCATGGGACTCAGAAGAGGGCCTCCTCTGAGGAGCCTAAGAACTGAGAAAGCTCATATGGGGAGATATTTTTCTCCAGATAGTTCAGACCTAAACCATATAGGGCTTTATAATAACCAGCCCTTTGAACTGGGCCCAGAAACAGATTGATAACCAGCACAGTTGTAGTAGCAGGGGTGTTATAGACTCCTTATAACTGGCCCCAGTCAGTCGTCTGGCTGCTGTGTTTTGAACCAGCTGAAGTTTCTGAACCATCTTCAAAGGCAGCCCCACACAGAGTGTGTTACAGTAATCCAAACGGGATGTAAATAAGACGTGTGTCACTGTAGCCACACACACACACACACCCATGAGCTTTAGATTACAAAGTGGTGGAGGAATTATTTAAATTTAAAAGCCAATCAGCTCTTCTCCACATGAGAGACTGCCCTTCTGACAAAAGGAAGAGGGCCTAGAAATCAAATAAATAAATACTGTAAATAAAAACTATGAGCATATTGTGGCCATGTTCCTCCTTGAAAGCAGAATTATAGAATTATCCGTGCAGTGCTGTTGATGCAGAAGTCAAATGCAATTCCTGGATATTATCATCAGAAGAAAAAAAAATACACCGAGATGGGACAATAATATTACCACCATAAGGGGCAGTCTTAGGATCCTATATCTACTGCACATTCTTAAATACATAGAAGAGGTACATCAATCAATCAATGTGGAACTTTCTTTTTAATGAATGCAAAAAATGCAGCACCCACAAGATAAGGCAAAATGCTGATAACTATGGTGCCTAGAAAATGAAACCGGGGGTGGGGGGGAAGAGGTGCAGATCTTCAGTGAGATTCATTTAGGTTCGTGGGAGGAAACTGAAGCTTTTTGTTCCATTATGAAGATTTAGGGTTAATTTGGAGAACCTTGTTACTTTCCTCATTTTAACAGTAAAATGAAAATGTGTACAGTAAGAACAGGCAAAGACTTTGTGTTAATAAATCGATAAAAGAATTCCTCAATGAAGATGTAACTCTTCCATGTCAGTTACAACATTATCGAGTATTATTAAGCTATAACATTATTTTATTATCCAGTTTATTTGTTAGCAATGCTCTAATTGCAGTGAAGTCTCCGTGACAAGGGACAGAGTGAAATGCCCTTCAGATAACCTTGAGGCTAGAAATACTATCAAGGATCACAGAAACAGCTTTCCTTGGAGGCTCATCTTTAATTGGTTCAGTTGCTCCCTCCTAGGAGTAGAGGCTTTGAATTAGATAATTGACTCCCCCTCTAAAAAGAGTTCTACCCACTTTGAACAGAGCTGAAAAATGTTTCACTGCTTGGACTGTAACACCCATTACTCTCCCAGACAGCAAGGCCAAAATTCTGCAAGCTGTAATCTACCCCCTTTCAAAACAAAGATAAATAAATAGTAAGGTTCCTCATCTTTGTACTATGATTTGAATTCCACATAGAGCCTGCTGTGATAGCACTGCCCACAGTTGCTCCTCCAACTGCAGTCCAAGAATTCCTGTGGGATGCTGATCAGAGATGCCGCTGCTTTTTTACAACATAGGCAAATGAAAATCTGCCTCTGATTTGGTTTGCCAGTAGTTATTTGCATCTCTCTTCTCCCCTGGGGCACACATGACCTTCTGCTCTAGCAAGCGAGGGAGATGGGCGCTTAATGAACGCACAAAGGAATTGGAGCAATGCTTAAGAACCAGCCTTATGTTGTTACCCAGAACCCATCTGGATGTGCCATCATCTTTAGAACTGTGCTCTCACAGCATTTCTCTTCCTTGGTAAAACTACATGAGTAAGCAACTCAAGCCATTAAGAGCCTGAAAATGAAGAGCAGAGATCTCCCCTCCCCTTTTCGCCAATGGCTGTTAATGCCTTCATCATCAAGATGGCCACACGGACTTTTCCCATCTTTGCCCGTGCACAGCATTCCAGCTCCGAGACAGAAAGCAGAGATGGAGTGGTGCCGTGACATGAGGTCACTACAGTTGAAAAAGCCACAAAAGCTGCAACAGAGGTTTGGAAAAATTACTTTTTCGGACCATGGCTGTCAGAATCCCCCAGGATTCTAGGACTTGCAGACAAAACCAAAACAGTTCTTGAAATTTGGTCCGAGTTCAGGTCATCTGTAAATCTGTGTTCATACTTTCTTTGTTTGAATCAGAGTGTTGCACAATTTAAAATTTGCGCATATAACAAGTGGTTCTTCCTTTGTGTTCACTCTTCTTTTAAGGTGCAGAAAATGAACCAGAAGCAAAGTAATTCAGAAGACAACCCTCTCCCAATTTCTCCACCCCTACAAGGAACAGAAACTGCTAGTACAGAAGAACACAGTCATTGATTTGCAAGAATGGAAGATTGCCTATCAAAGCTAGTTCAGCAAGGCTTCAGCTGAGCCACTAGTGATTTGGAACAACCAAAGTATCTTTTCTATCCTTCAGGCTGTGGTATTTTGGAAAGAAGGCTTGTTCTGAAAGTTCACATCTTGCCAAGATAACAACATTCTATAAACACTTCAGACATCCAAGTAGTAGTGTTTTTTCAAGGATCAAAACATAAAGTCATGAGATGATCTATTTACTCTATTCCCTGTATTCTATAAACACAACTACCACAAATGTTGACATCTTCACTGTGGATGCTAGCATTTAAAAAAAAAAAGATAAAATGAGGTCCCAGCACAACAGGAACCAGTGTTCATGCTGCATTCATAACAGATGTTAGCAGCAGTGTAAGTAAATCTCCTTTAGGATTGCTAATTTGTTTCCATTCCCCCATCACGTTGTCTTTTCAAAGCATTTCCCAAAATTGTTTGATAACAATTCCCATCATCTCTATTCAGTATGCAACTGGACTATAATGCTGACTTGTGCATCCAGTTCTTAAAGTCAGCTCAATTCCTGCCTCCAAGCTCTACCCCCGGGATTTCATTCACGTCATGGGCTCCTTCAAGCAGCAAGAGATATCTCTGGGTATGATCATTCCACAAATGCAAAGACTCACCTTCCTCAGCCATATCTTTGTCCAACACTAGTTTCCCATGTCGGAGGAAATTCAGAATGGGTCCAAAGTAAGTTGGGTCCCTATCAATGAGGTATGCTCCAGTCTCATCCTAACAAAACAAAACCCAAAAAGCAAAGAATAGAGTAAGTCCCATATTAATTAACTCTTTTTTTTTCTCAACTAGAAGAGGCGTTAGTGTTTTACAGCAAAATAAGGAAGAAAAGCGTAAGAACTCCAAATTCCTTCCCTGGCTATCCTACTAGGGCAAGTGAGAGAAGGACTGAAGGAAAGTATGCTGACTCAGAGCTAACTTTGGTGGAAGAAGCGGTAGCATGAGCATAGGCATCAGGAAGAACAGGAGGAAAGGAGACCAGGAAGCTGAGGATGGCACAGATCTATGGAGAGAGGATGCCCACATGCCTGTCCTCATTGTGGGCATACTGACCCTCACTTTTGTGGCCTAGGAGTCGGAGCTCCTCCACCATTGAGCAGCACGATGGTGGAGGAGCTCTGACTCTTGGCTCATAAGAACTGCACTAGTTGGGAGCTGGGTGACATGGACTCACTGATGGACTTAAGTGAAGTAAACCAGCGGGCAAGATACAAAGAACATTGACTGTGGACTACTGAATGTAACTAGGATCAAAGACTCTGACCAAGTTATTTATCCATTAGCTCAGTGGTTCCCAGCCTTGGGTAACCCAGATAGTCTTAGACTTCAACTTCCAGAAACCTCGGCCTGCACAGCTTGGTGGTAAAGGCTTTTGGGAATTGCAGTGCAAGAACACCTGAGTTTCGCCAAGGTTGGCAATCACTGTGTTAGATCATTCTCCTATCCAAGTGACAATAAAGTGTCATGCTTTTATGGACCAAAGAATGGAAGAGGGATGTCTGGCTGAAGTGGACAATCCTGGTGGTATCACACTGATTTAGGAATAACTGGACATTTCTCATAATTCAAGGATGTGGCTCTCCTTTAAAACAAGCCCTGTGCTTTATGTGCACCTTGTTTCTGCTTGGAACAACCAGTAGGAAAAGATTTCAGATCATGGTAGAAAAGATTTTCAGATCATTCAATGCCTTTATTGAAGTCTTCAGTGTAGCCACTCTTAGAATGCTACGTTCAGATAGTTGCTTTATCACAGACAACACTATTGCACAATGGAAAATGTACAGAAAAAGACAAGCAAAATGATCAGAAATTGGAGTGGTTCTTTTATGAGGAAAACTTCTAAAATCTGGGACATTTTAGTCTAAGGAGAAAAAGCAAGTAAGAAAGGATATGAATGAAGTTTATCAAAAATATCAGTGAATTTGATTATGAGCACCCCCAGTTTCCCCCTTCATCATGACATGGTATGTTTGCTTAACCTGAAACATTTATTAAACAGCAAACATGGTCAAAACCAGGTGGCCAACAGGGCCTAACTATCCTATGTGTCAACAGGATACCTGTCCATAACTAAAGTCTCTAGCCTGTTTTTAATGGGTCTTCAGGGCAGCAGGGGAGAATTCCCTTTCCTCTACCAGTTCTGGCACACCACAGAGGTGGGAAAGGCATGGAGTGCCATAACAGTGGTGCCAGACAGCCACTGACACCTGGCTCTGGACATGGGTAGACTAAGCCTTCAGCCCAACATGGCTGGAAGGACTGTGGCATTCTGAGAAGCAGCTGCAAGTGGCCGCCGCTCTGGGGTTGACCCATTCCAGGCTGAGCCCGACTTGACCAGTGGAGGAGACAGATTAGGAAGCCTGAAGTGGGTATGTCAGTTCGGTTGGCTGGTTGGCCGGGGTGTGTAGGCTTGGTCTCTGTCAGCATCTCTGGGCTCACTGCTGGTGCTCTCCACAATGAGTCTCACTGAGCCTCTGTTACTCATGGCACACTCTTGCCACTTCCTCTCGAGGTACATGGAGGTCAGCCAACTGGACAGTCCAGGAATCACATCTCCGAACAACCTCTCTGTGCCGAGATCACACGTGCTCTCTACACCCTCAAGTTTGCAAGCCTCTCATGAGTCTTGAGTCCTCAGAGCTTGTCTCTCCCTTCTGCAGCCACACCCTCCATCTTCTCCATGACACCCCTTAAGTCTCTGTCTGTGTCTTGGTCGGCCCCCAATCTATGGGAGAACTGCAGGTGGAAGATGGTTTAGGTAGTGAATGCCTTTGAATGCCTGAGGAGTGGGGTCCCGGCCAGTCCCACATTGATTCAAATAAAATGTATTAAAACAACTTCTCAGAAATATTAATGCAATCATGTGATTTATTCCCAGAAAGAAGTGCACCCTTGTTTGCTCTTAACCCTACTTTTCATATTTTTCACAATCTGCTTGCACAGCTGACTCCTCTTTTTACTGATGCCTCTAGTGGCTTGGCTTTCTATACAACACTGAAGAAGGACTATAGCTAGAGTTGTCTTCTAATGGCATGAGAGTACGGTTACACTGCATAGCCAATTTGCAGGCTGTACTGTGTTTGAAATCGCAGTCAGTGCTTACCCAGGGGCTGTGGGTTGACTCAAGTGTTCACCATTCATACTAGATGCAAAGTAAATTGCATTCCAGTCCATAGCCACTCCCCCTTTCCTTCCTTCCTCTGGTCTTGCCTCTGCCAATCTCATAGGGAACTGACAGGGGTGTAAATATGGGAAATAATAATGATGATGATGACATAGCAGTAAGGTGATACGGTGACTTAATGCTAATCTCATATATGTAAGAATTTTTTAAAGAATTTTTAAAATTCTGGGAGGAAAGAAAGTGGAGTGTGTTCTTTTGCTCCTGAACCTCACACCCCAACTGCTGACATCACCAAAACACTGTCTACAGACAAGGCCCACAAGAATGTATCACAACTAACCACATGGGGGAAAGTTTGAATCCTTCCAGCCTGAAAACGCTGAAGCCTATTCAGTGGCAGAGGAAATAAAGCCGCTTTGGGAACAAAAAGGGCTGGACAGATTTGAATCAGCCTTTGCATCACATGCTGAGTAAAAAATACTTCAAATTCAACCATTTTATAAGCAGAGGAAATCCGGTGGTATTTGATAATGTAGTTGCACCCTAAATATTACTGAAGAACACTGTTGAAAACAATCCTAACAGGGCTTCCCAGATTTCCTAGCATTTTGTCAGATTGAGAGGGAGGAAAAAAGCTCCAGGAATAACATCAGTCAGATTTAGAAAATAGGGCTGACAGGCTTGTTATTTCTGATCTCTATATTGCTGTTAATCTCTGGAGATACAAACTGGTTTGAGAACTGCAGACTTTTTCTGATGGCATTTGCTATACTGATTATTCAGAAAGATTGAAAGATGCAAAATTTGATGGAATCTCGTAAAGTTGAGGCTCTAATCCAAGAACTGGTGAACTCTGTTTACAAACCTTTTTTTTAAAAAAAAAATGTAATCCTTATTCCATGAGATCTTTGAGCTATAGCAGCTTTTAAATTAGAACGATCACCACCACAGGCTTGAAGATCAAAACAAAGCAAAACTTTTAAACATCTTTAAAAAAAAACGTAAATTAAAAAAATGCATTTTTAAAAATCACCACTGTTTATCTACCCAGAAAATTACATGTGGTATTGAGAAAGTCGATAGGGGGGGAAATCTCTCCTACAAGATTACATGAAGGGATCATCCAATGAAGAAGTGGTGTTTCTTCACACTCTGCAGAGTTAAAATGTGGATTTCACTACCACACAATGGAGTGATGGCCACCAGAACTGATGGCTTTAAAGGGAGAATCAGCCAGATTCATGGAGAAGTGGCTGTTAGCCATGATGGCTCTATTATTGCTTCTAATGCCAGAAGCACTCTACCTCTCAGTTCCAGTTTTGCTGGGAGACTGGAGTGGGAGAGTGCAGTTGTTTTCACGCTTGGCTTGTGGGCCTCCCAGAGACATCTGCTGGGCCATTTATAATGTATGAAAGATGAAACATTAAAGCAAGCACTTGTTTTAATTCTCTCTCTCTCTCTCTCTCTAATGGAATGCACTTTAAAGACCTGCTCAGGGAGAGAGCAGTGTTAGCCTGCTTCAGCAAAAGGAAGAAATCAAGAAAAATAAAGGTATTGCAGCATCTCTAAAAGAGTCACAGAATTTCAATGCAAACTTTTGCGGATTAGATTTTACTTCCTTCTTCGGGCACCAAAGAACACACAGAAAAAAATGTTTGTCTTTAAAAGTGCCCCAATAATTTTGTATTATATTTTTCTTTTGTTTTTAAAGATGCAATCCACACTTCAGGGGAAAGTCCCATTGAGCTCAACACCCTTCGCCTATCCTTTTTCTAATCAGGAAGTTGTGGACCTCATGAGAGAAGAGGAAGCAAAACAACAGAATCATTTCCCCGGGGGGGGGGGGCAAGGTATCAACACGCTTTAACACGAGTACAAACAGCGGAGGCGATGTTGCAACTGCCCTAAGGGATAAAACATGTTCAGCCACCACAAGCCATGGGTTGGATCCAGACTTAAACCGCCCTCTTGAGTTAATCCTCCCAAATCAACTGGACTCTTCTTAATCAGAGTGATTCCTGGCTCCAACCCAACGGACTTGCTGCTTGCTGTATTCAACTTCTGTCTCTGTGGACCCGGACTGGATGGATGCCCTCCCAGACCCCCGGCCAGTTCTCCGTGGCCGACTCAAGATCCGTGGCTAAACCGGGATCGTCCCTTTCCAAATCTCCAAAATGCAAGATATATATTTTTTAAACGCGGGTGCATCAGCCTTGACCGGCGTCACGCCAGCAAAGGGAAGGAGCCCCGGCTGCCCGTGCACGGCTAACATCGGGAAGACCCACCCGGGTGCCTGAACGGGCCAAGTCAGTCCTTCGCCCGCTCGAAGGCGCTCCCCCCCACACACACACACCGGACCTCCGCACGGGCGGCACAGCGCCGCTCCTCGGCGGGGCCGCCGCTTACCCGATCCGACTGGAGCTCCTCTCCCTGGCAGAGGCGGCAGAGGAAGGACTTCTGCTCCCGGCACAGGGTCTGCCGGGTGGTCAGGAAAATCGTGCCGCCGACGTTCAGCCGCACCCATTTGCCCCGGTTGCTGGGCGGCGAAGGCGGCGGCGGCGGATGATGCTGGCGGGGGCTCTCCCAGGCGTAGGAAGCCCGTTGCACGGGCTGCGCTTCCTCCCCGCGCTCCATCCTCATCTCCCTCTCTCTCGCGCGCGCGCGCGCCGCCCGGCGTCCCTCCTCCTCCTCCTCCTCCTCGCTCCCCAAGCAGGTGCGGAGCGCGAGCGAGGGAGGGAGGATTCTGGGAGTTGGAGTTTTTCCGAGGGCCCGCGGCCACAATCCTAGGGGCCGGATCTGGCTTTCGGTGTCTTAGCGGAAGGGCGGCGTTGCGGGTTGCCGTCGTTGCCCAAAGAGGAGCGCGTTGAGATCGTGGTTACGACGGTTGTCGAGGTCTAGAAGGGTTAGTCAGCCTCCACCGGGGGAGCTGCGCTGTCCTCAGCCGCTGTGGCCGGTTGGACTGCAACGCCCATCATCCTTCGCAGCTGGGAGTTGCCGTCGAACAAAAAAATCCCAGATTTTACTCACTCCGATGTATTAATTCGAGACAACCCACGACTTCCGCGGATGCTGTCCGGGGCATATGAGATGGTATAGTAACTTGACCATGCTGGTTGGGGATGATGGGGATTGTAATTCAAGGCATCTGGAGGCCGCCAATTCGGGAAGGACTGATTCATGCAAGAGTACGAATTGCATTATAAATACTGTACAGTATCATGAATGTAGTGAAATCATGTAACTATTTATTTAGAAACTCGCACTGTGTTCAGTGAGGATTATTTGCAATAAATATGAATGGCTTTGTATACTTACCTGCAAATTAGCCTAATTTTTTTATATCTTAGATGCACATATACAAATAAAGCCCAAGCATATGATACATAATATTTGCAAGTAAAGGTACCTGTGCCAGTTGTTCAAGACGAACTACAGTATAGCTCCTTGGCTACAAGCACGCAAGGTGGCAAATACATTGCATATCAACATCTTGTGCTGCATCCCATTAACTAATGCAATCCCCGTCAGCCCTAAGCAAGACTAATAAAAATGATCATGGGAATTTATGTCCAACATTTGGAAAGAAGGTAATTGTCTCCCCATCCCTTAGAATACTGTAATGGGAAGTACTTTATATGTCCTACAATATAGAAAAATGCAGAGGAATTGTTGCAGCTGCTTTAAAGTGGGGAGGGGGACAGACCTGAACACTGGATCTACCAGCAGGTCTCTAGAGGATTGAAAGTACATAACCACAGACTTCTGCCTCCCACTTAAAAATATCCTCCCCAACATATATACACACAGGGTGAAAATATGGCACATTTCCCCCTAAATTGTATTGCTGAAATGAACAAATTTAAAGAGTAGCCAAGAGATGGGGGGAGTAGGGTGGTGAGCACTATTCATTTCTGGCACTGGCAACATTCCAAAAGGAAAAAAAAAGAGATGGGGGGAGTAGGGTGGTGAGCACCATTCATTTAAACACTGGGTGTATATGAATTGTATCAACACTGAGGGTGTGTGTGTGTGTATATACACACATACACACACACACACAGAGAGAGAGAGAGAGTACATGACAAAATGCAGTGAGCTTAAGAGATTTCCAGTTCCAAGTGTATTTCTGCTGGACAAGCATCTGGTTTGCAGCTCTTGTGGCTCTAGTAAAAAACCACAAGAGCCATTCCTACAAATCTAAAATGGGCTGTGCTCTATCTTAAGAGCACTCAGGGCTGCAACACACGTAAAGCAACCTGTGACACCCCCTTCCCTCCAGAAAACATCTTAAGAGCACTCAGGGCTGCAACACATGTAAAGCAACCTGTGACACCCTCTTCCCTCCAGAAAACACTTTGCGCCCTCCTGGGGGGGGGGGTCATGATCCCCAGGTTGGGAAACACTATCAACTGAACTTTGTAACCAATAATCTAGCGCACTGGTTCTTAACCTTTGTTACTCAGATGTTTTTGGACTGCAACTCCCAGAAGCCTTCACCATCAGCTCTGCTGGCTGGGGTTTCTGGGAGTTGCAATTCAAAAACACCTGAGTAACAAAGGTTAAGAACCCCTGTGTTTGCTTTACAGTATTCCACTTTGCCCCAATCTTGTTTACCTTTGTGCTGTTTATTTTGGATTTCTAAGCCTGCAGACACGGACTGTCTCATTTCCGTTGCTTGTACGCCACTGTGGGGCACTTATGGGGTAAAAACGGTGAACACATAAATATAGGTTGAAAAAGTCAAAGCCTTTGACTTTTTGAAAAAGTCAAAGCCTCTCCAAAAATGCCCACGTTTTCATGGCCACCAGCTGCCATGACTCGGGGATTCTGGGAATTGGAGTCTTTTTAAAAAAGTTTTCTGCTCTGAATATAAAGAAATAAGCACACCTTGATTAAATGAGTAGTGATGTGTTTTTGGTATTAATGCCACTAAAGGAAAGCACAGAAACATATGAATCCAAGATGTTATCTACAAGAAGGGTGGGAAGAAGATCTGTAGGAATCAACTTGTGATTCTATAGGCGATTTGGAGAAGAGCAACAAGAACTTCAAATTCCCATTTGGGTAATATCAACAAAATGACCCCAATACACACTTCAAATTGTAACTGAAATGGAGAAAACATGGGTAACCAATGAGCCTGTGGTATCTTAATGACTAATACATTTATTATGGCATAGGCTTCCATTGACTAGAGGCAGCTGACAGCATGGGCTATAGAATACAAAACCTTATGTCACAAAACATCTGTTTGCCTCTTGATACTTTGTGGCTCTCCCATTTTTGTTGCAATAGACAAATGTGGCTTTGGAAATCAGGGCAACTAAGAGCTGATCGTCTAAGTCAAACGGGTTTTGACCACTTTTTCTTTCTAGAATTCAAAATTCTTTCATACGCTTATAATTTGATGTTGAGTGTATGTCTTTTGCAGTTGGTGAAATTCGGAGTTGTAGATTTTATTTAAAAAGGGAGATCTTGCAAGACCCCAAATGTATCCACTCCAAACTACAACACGTGTCCCAGAATTAGACTCATATCAAAACAAACAATAAACAAAACCAGAAATAAAGTGCCTCAAGGTGCTTTTAATTTTAAAACAATGTATTTGCAATGTAACACTTGATTTTTAAAAAATAATGTTTAGAAATTGGGATTTCAGTTGGCATAGAAAAAAGAGCTTGGAAATGTCTTTAAAAAAAGAGAAGAAGCTGTGCTGGCTGCAGAATACTGGAATCTGTAGCCCAAACAGTTACTTTTCCAAGCTCTAGAAAAATGGCACAATTTACCGTGGGCAGAATGCAAGATTTAATCCCCACAGCAACGTGATTTCCTATGGCATGCCCAGTAAGGCTGGAGCACCAGAGTTCCCACATGCAGCCTGAAACCTTTGTTATTCCACTATCCCATAATCAGTACTTTCCACCACTCTAAAAAAAGTGCTGTGAAAAAAAAATGAATTGTCCATGCCCAGGGAAGGCTAACAGAACGACTGCAGCACCTCCCACCCCCACCTCCACCCCCCATTCATTACCAAAATCCTGTGCACAACAGCAAGGCCATCTTAAGGTTTTTGAAGTACTGTTCTGTTCCCAGTTTTAAGGGAACATTTCTGTTTCCATTGTGGCAAGAGGCTGCATCTCACAAGGTCTTCCCTCTGCCCTCTGAGATGATGTGTTCTGGCCGTGCCCGCATGAACCACTCCACCCAGGCTCCGTCATAAATGGCCACATCAGGCTTGCCACACAGGTATGCCCCCAGTGCCACGTGGCAAGCAGTAACCCCTGAACCACAAGTGGCCACAACGGGCTTGGAAAGATCCACCTTCTTCTCTTGAAACATGCGGCGGATGTCCTCGGGACTCTTCTCCATGCCCATTTCAGTAAGAAAGTCAGTGAAAGGAATATTCACCGAACCAGGAATGTGACCAGGTTCAATTCCTAGAGAAAGTTTGAAAGACATATATAACATATTAAAATACTTGTTAAAAATCCATTTCAAAATCAAGAAATCACTTTCAGTTCTCTCTTCTCCTTGGTGAATTGGATATATACTAATAGAACAATGGTTCTGAAACTTGCCTCCTCAAGATGTGTTGTAAATACAACTCCCATTATCCACATTACTGACTGTACTGTCTAGGATTGATGGCAGCTGCAGTCCAGGAACATCTGGACACCCACCACTGGGAACCACTGCCCTACAGGCTTTTTCCTTTCCATTTTCCTGGACCTTCTCCATTTTCTTCTCAATCTACAAACAAATTGGCCCCGAATCTTCTATATTTTCAACGAAAAGCACTATTTCTCAACTTTTTCTTTAAAATCCCTACCCCCTTTTGGGTAAACATAACAATCCCATGCTCCCTCTAAACCTGCTTCCCTCCACTGTTTTTAACTGAAATATCGGGACTTGACGGTAGGAACTTCCAAACGGATACAGAGTCACACTTTCCATGTACAAATGCCTCCACATTAGACGGTATCTCAAAGATAAATAAAGATCAAGAAAAGACAACAGGGACTCTACTGCACACCATAAGATGACGTAATAAGATGCATACCAAGAAAGCAATATGCCTAATTGTTTTTCCTATTTCTTAACAAAAGTATGATAATATACAGTATTCCCCCCCCCCAAACTGCACACAAATTCCTTGAAATCTTGATCTGTTCCTCGCCCACCCCCAGAAGGACATGTAACTAACTAATAAGCAGTAGCCTAAGGAGTTGTTTTGTTGCATTGATGTCCACAGTGAGAGTATGATTGATCATCCAAGTCCAAGAAGAGATTAGAACCCTGGTTTTGTGAGTCCTGGTCTACCACTCATATTCCCATGATGTGCAAAATGTGGCCCAAAGACCAGATGCAGCCCCAGACAGTTACGTTTCCATTCCCCAACTAGCCCTGGGGCCCCTGGACTCCCTCTTGCTCAAGAAGTCCCTAGGAGCCCTCTAGGCATGTTTGAGGCCCCACTGCCACTTCTGGGTTCCCCGTGGCCCCCTAAATTATTTGTATTGAGGGCCACAAAGAGGCAAAACATTTTTTTTAAAATCAATTTTTTAAAAAGTTGAACTTATTTTCAGCTAACAAAAACTGACTGTGGCAACTCTTCAAAGAAATTAATAAAAGAATTACATATGCAAATTAGCACATTTGGCCACACACTTTCCTCTTTAGCCCCTCCCTCTTGGAAGAGCACCCTGTGGGCAGCCAAAAAATCTAAAAAAATAGCTCTTGGGCCTGCCAAGGACACCCACCCTTGTTCTAAGCCCTTGTTCTTCTTATGTGCGTTCCAGTTGGAACTAATATATAATGATCCTAATGGGGTTTGCAAGGTAAATGAGATAATTAAGGAGTGCTTTTACCAGTTCCATGCCCCAGTGAGTTTTGATGGCTGAACTGGGATTCGAACCCAGGCCTCCTGAGTTCTAGTCTATCACTCTATCCTCTACACCAGACTGGGCATCCCACCCCTGCTCTAAGCCCAACACTACTCTGATCTTACCTTCCCTGGGCTCTGCCTCAATTCCCATGAACCGACCCGCTGACCGTGCGTCCACAACCTGGAACTGGTGTGACTCCATGTTCTCCTTAACGTCCATATGGGTCTTCACCATGGATCTGTCCAGCGTAGCATGGAATTCTGCAGGGACAGGGTGGCTCTTTCCAGAGCTGACCGGGCACCCCTCCCTGATCCAATTCTTCAGTCCACCATCCAGGAGAGAAACAGCTTCATGCCCAAACACTCGAAACATCCACCAGACGCGAGGGGCTGAGAAAAGGCCCTGATCGCTTGCATCGTACACCACGACATGGGAGTCATTGCTCACTCCCAGCTTGCCCACATACTCAGAAAAATCCCCTGCGCTGGGGAGCATGTGATCATAAGGCGAGGTGCGGTCACTGCACTGGTCTATGTCAAAGAAAGCAGCACCAGGGATGTGGCGCTCTTCAAACTCTCGCCGGGGGTCGCGCTTCATTTTTGGCAAGTACCAAGAGGCATCCAGGAGCCGCACAGTCAACCCTGTCTGAGAAGACCTGATGGCTTCAGAAACCCATTTTGCCGAGACCAGAGCCCGGTAGAGAAGTTGCTGGGACATTGTGCCTATCCTCTGTTTGCCTTCAGGTGTTATCTCGCACCTCACTGGATTTACCACACTGCAGCGAAAGAAGACAAAAATTATTATTCCCACAGCACTGGGAAAGAACTCACCAATCCTGCATCACACTGGGAAAGCAGCTGTTGATAAACAGAAAAGCAAATCCAGCTTATTCTATTGCTGGATTCAGATGTAGTGTTCTGGGCACATGAGGGAAATTTTTGTTTCCAAATCACAACCTGCATAATCTCCCCAGCCAACATGGGATTCTGGATATAGTAGTCCACAAAAAGGACATTTTTGAAGCTTTGGTTTGGGACTCAACAAATTAGGGTTTAACAGAGCACAAAGGTTTTTGGATTTCATTCATCAACCCAATTAACAAATGACAATTCTTTCCAAGCACATTTAAGTAACAATTACCAGGGCTAGGACACACTCTAAGGCTGTTCCCAAGAGATCAAAGGGATAATTGCCCAATCAAATGATTTGCCACCAAAACAGGAAACTGACTACAAATTGGGGGGGAAAAACACAAGGCAATTAGCAGTCTGACCCCCTCTCCCAAAATGTGGGAAGAATGACCATGAAACTCAAAGGCTTCCTCCTCTTTATTTCAGACTTTTTAATACCATTTTCATTTTGAGAATCTCAGAAGTAGTTTCCAGTATTGCAGAATCATTTTGCACATGCCTGACGACACAGTGGAATATTTGGCTTGCTTAATCACCTTCTCCAAAATATCCAAACCAGGGAACTGGGGTTTAAACACTTCCTGTCGATCAGGATTCTAGTCTGAGATCAAGCTGTCAAGTCGAGGCATTGCAGTGAAATTGCAGCATTGAGAACATACCTTCTACAGCCAGCCATGCAAGAGGAAGAAGAGGAGAGGGAGTTGGGCGTCGGAGACTGCTTGAGTTTGGCACCCACTGGTGGGACAGTGCACCTACTGACAAGAATTCATATCTGTGTGGCACCAGCAAGGGTCATCAGTGTCACTGTCCTGCTGACAGTGCAATAGAGACACTAGCAATTGACTTGGGGCATTTTGGAGGCAAGTCACGGATGCTAGGAAGCCTCAGGTTCTTGAGCCTACTCCTCCTCCCAACAATGGCATTGAAAACTGGCTGAAGTAAATGTACAGAGCCACCCCCACAATGTAGTGTTATAAAATCCCCCACACTATACCAGTTCCGTAGCAGGTACAGTTCATTTCCTCCCGTTAAAAGGGAGGAGGTGAGGAGCAAAAACCACCTCAAGAAGGCAGAGAGCATCTTCCACATTGTCTCTAATCCCCCTCCCTTGCCACCTCCAGGATTGTTTTGCCCAATGAACAACTCGTAAGAAATGCTGGGAGGAAAAGGCTATAAATTCAAAAACAAAATGAGTGTGGACTTGGAACCATTGCTAAACATGTGCTATCAAATCAATTTGAATATATGGTGACCCTCTTCAGGGTCTTCCAGGTAGAGAATACTCAGAAGTGGTATACCATTCCCTTCTTCTGGGGCACCTTGGAACTGTGCAGCTGGACCGAGGCCACACAGGCTGGATCATCTTCCAGGAGGTACAATGGGGAATCAAACTCCCAGTCTCTGGCTCCGCAGCCAGATACCTAAACCACTGCGTGATCCAGCCAGCTAGAACCACTGTTTCAAGGCAAAGCAAAAAATGCCTTCCTAGCCTTACGGAGCACACGGCTCAAGAAAACTGCAGTGTTTTTTTCCTCTGAAGGTTTTATACAAGAGCATGAATGATTTTCTGTCAAGAGGAATGAACATATATTCACACTTCTGACACCAATGTGTGCAGCCCCTGTTGAAACTATAAAACGCTGTCAAGTGGCAGCAATAGTCATAGCAACAGATGCTTTACAACTAACCTAATTCCATTTTTAAAATTTAATTTTATCTTTTAGGAACAGCACTTGCTCTCTCGCTCTCCTCAAAACACATTGTGCTGAGTTGCAAGTATTCACAAATTCACAAGTTGTCAGCTCTCAACAGACATTATAGCAGAGAGGTGACCACACACCCTCTGTTTTCCATGTGAGTCTGGAGCTCTGGCTAATCAGTGGGTAGCACAGCCAAGTGACAGGGCTTATGGAAGATAGTAGCTCTCAGCCTGTAGCCCCCTCCCATTAATACTGGAGCTCAACTTCCAGAAGCTTTGGCCAGCAGAGCTAAAGGTTAGGGACTCAAAAGGTGTGTAAATGATACACAGTTTTACATTTAGCTGCCTAGAGTGGTCCTAGGACCAGATGGGTGGGGTATAAATGAAATAAAATAAATAAATAAATAAATAAATAATATACTGTTTCATTAGTGCAGTGCACTATTTAGGGTAGTTTACAGCAAAATAAAAAATTAAATTAAATTAAATTAAATTAAATTAAATTAAATTAAATTAAATTAAATTAAATTAAATTAAATTAAATTAAATTAAATTAAATTAAATTAAATTAAATTAAATTAAATTAAATTAAATTAAATTAAATTAAATACTGTTTCATTAGTGCACTGCACTATTTAGGGTGGTTTACAGCAAAATAAAATATAATCCGGCAACAATAGAATTATAAACACAACCAAGAGACTATAAAACATACTACAAGAGGCTTAATATCAGTTATAAGGCAAGGCGGAACACAAGCCATAAAATTAAGTAATATCAGTTATCAGATAAGGCGGAACACAAGACATAAAATTAAGTACAGTGGTGCCTCGCTTAGCAATCGCTCCGTTGAGCGACGAAATCCCTTAGCGACTAACTTTTTGCCATCACAAAAGCGATCGCTTTGCGATGGTCCCTATGGGGTTTTTTTGCTTTGCGATGATCGCGGGAAAGCGATCATGGCAAAGTGACCCTTTTTTAACAGCTGATCGGTAGTTTCCAAATGGCCGCCAGGAAAACAAAATGGCTGCCTTGCCCGCTGTGTGTACTCGCTTTAGAGGCACCGAAAATGGCCGCCCCTATGGAGGATCTTCGCATAAGGTTAGTTTTGAAACCCATAGGAACACATTAATCACGTTTTAATGCGTTTCTATGGGCTTTTTAATTTTGCTTAGCGATGAAATCGCTTAGCAATGTTTTTTCTGGAACAGATTAACATCGCTAAGCAAGGCACCACTGTATAAAATCAGGTAGGGATGTCATAGAAGGCTCTTCCAAACAACCATGTTTTTAAAAATTTCTTAAAACATTGGGAGGGAGGGGTCCAGGCACAGCTCCACTGGCAGCCGGTTCAAGAGTGTTGGTACCACCGCAAAGAAGGCCCTATTTCTTATAAAAGAATTATTGGCCTCCCTCGGAGCGGCCACACAGAGGAGCATTGTCTGGGATGGTCTGGTGGAGTGGGCAGATGACTTTGGCCAAAACTGCTCCAACAGGTACTGTGGTCCCAAACCATGGAGAGTTTTATAGGTAAGCATCCATACCCTGGACATGACCCAGGACATAACAGGAAACATATACAGGTGGGCCAGAACTAGAGATAGGTGTTCAAATGTATGTTCGAACTGCTATGGTTACACCCTATGGAATCTTGTGATTCGTAGTCTGCTGAATACTTGGAATTGTCTGCCAAAGAGCTCTATTTTTAATCTTAGTGGCAACTCAATTAGTTAGATAAGGCTGAGAGACCATGACAAGTCCAACGCTATTAAGTGAGCTCCATAGTTGAGTGCGAAACCTGAACTTAGGTTTCCCTGAATCCAACCTACTAACTACTGACCCATGCTGGCCCCCATGTAAAAGGAGAGTGGTGATGTCTAAACCCACTATAGGAGTTTTCTTCTAGTCCCTGCATGTGCTTGACCTTCCCACTTCTGTAGCCAGCTCCAGACCATCTGTTTATCTTATTTATTAGTTAATATTTATATCCTGCTTTTCTTCCAACGTACTCAGGGTAGCGGATGGGGATGTCCCTGCAACAACCCTGTGAGAAACTTTCCCCACAACAACCTTGTGAGGTAGGTGAGGCTGAGACACTGTGAGCAGTCCAAAGTCAGCTTGCGAATTTCTCAGCTATATTGGGAGAGGGGACCTAGAAAACACATTCCATAGGATGTGGAGACCTTTTTTTGAGGCCTCCATTATTGAGCTTGGAGATACTAAATTTTTCAGCTATAACACCCAAAATTCTCCAGCCAGTATGGCCACTGCTTTGCTTCTTTACTTCACATTCTAGCAATAGGTGGGACAGGAGGCAACGAATTTGCAGCTAGGCCAACTTCTGTGGATTCCACACCATATTAGAGTTCTCTCTGGTACCTCTGCGTTGGGAGGTTAGTCAGTGGTGATATGGCACAGATCCTTCTCTTCATCTTGGCATCCTGAATGCCAGCTGTTTCTTTCTAAATAAGTAACTATTCTATCCTGCCAGGCTTTTTCCTAAAAGTACCCATTTCTTTATTGTTGCCATTCCTGACTCTTCTTTGTCATCACTGGATTGCTTTCTGGTCTTTTCTGGATTTAAAAGATGCAGTGCTAAGCTACTTCATGGTTTTATACTTCATGGTTTTAACGTATGCCACCTTGAGCATACATGTAGAAAGATGGGATAGAAATGTTTTTATTAAACAGACAGAATATGTACATACAAAATATGCACTGGGTCATCTAAAATAATATCTGACATTGCAAATTTTGTAAATTATTATATTTAAAACAACCAACCATGATACTTATTGTTTTTAGAAGTTCTTCTCTTAATCTCCAAATTAAACTTTTGTGTCCCTGAACTGTAGCTGGCTTCAAATACTTTTCACCTTCACACTTGCTTCCTTCCTTCACAATTAGAGAGACAGGCTGCATATGAGACTTAGAGATGTGCAGAGAGGTGTTTTTGGACTACAGCTCTAGGAATTCTTCAGACAACTATGGAAACTGTAGCAAAAACAACAACAACAATCACAAAACCTATAAATCTGCTAACTCAACAGTTTTGCACACACTAGGTCTTCAAGGCAAAAGACAGAAAGAAGCTATGGAAACTGTAGCAAAAACAACAACAATCACAAAACCTACAAATCTGCTAACTCTTATTTTGTGGATAGCAGTTTTGCACACACTAGTCTTCACAGCAAAAGACAGACAGACGGAAAGAAAGAAGGAAAGAAAGAAAGAAAAGCTGTACCAGGAAAAAAATTAAGGGCACGTACACTGGAGGCTTCGTCAATAGGTGCTCTTCAGACAGGTTGAACTATATAGCCTATCACTTCCGGGTGTGGGGAGTTGTAGTCGATTAGACTCTAATTGATTTCGAGGAAGAAGCGAGGAAAAACGGGATGATCTGCTCGCGGAAGAAGCGGGTTAAAAAAAACAGTGCCTGGGGCAGGCAACGCGGGGGCCCTACATGTGGATTACCATACACTGGGGGCTTCGTCAACAGGTGCTCTTCAGACAGGGTGAACTATATAGCCTATCACTTCCGGGTGTGGGGAGTTGTAGTCGATTAGACTCTAATCGATCTCGAGGAAGAAGCGAGGAAAAGCGGGATGACCTGTTCGCGGAAGAAGCGGGTTAAAAAAACCCACAGTGCTTGGGGCAGGCAACGCGGGGGCCCTACATTTGTTGTGGATTACACCTCCCATCAGCCTCAGCATGATCAATGATCATGAACAGCTGCGGTCCCAAACGTCTGAAGGGTTTCAAAAACGATGATTTCAGATTACCTGTCCTTGGAGCAGCACCCCACCCCGACAGAACACGCATCAGGTGTCCGCCCGCCCGCCTGCCCCCTCGACGATTCCTCCTGTGCCCGAGTTTGCCCGCAAAGTCCTGAGCACGCGAAATTCTTCCAGGATCATATGATCGCCGACCAGATGGGCAGGAGAGCCTCTGGGAAGCCTCCCCCTCCCCGCTTGTCCACAGGCCGACGCCCCCATCCTTAAAGGATCCGCCTCATCTCCCCACCACAACGACCACCCCACCACCCGTACCTCTGCGCCCTTCCGATTGCCCCGCGTGTGCCGCCGTCCACACTTGCTCGGAGGATCTCACGCCGCTGCGCCAAGGCGGGCTTCCCCCCTTTCCATGAACCTCCCCTTCCCTCCTGGGTGGAGATAAGAGCCACATCCCCCTTCGCTATCCAGTGGAAGCCAAGAGCTGCCGGGGCAAACCAAACCGTGTCACGGAAAGGGTGTGTGTGCGCGCGCGCTCGTGAGCGTGAAGAAGTAGCACAAAATGGCCACTCTGAATGTGGAGCCCGCCTCCGCTCCCAACCCCAGACTTTACTGTCAATTCGTGTTGCCCCATCTCGCGGGGGAGGGGCGGAGGGAAAAGACACTAATTAGCCGCTCTTGGGGGCGGCGGGGGGGGGGATAAGGCCCTGCCCCGCCCACCACCCCTTTATTTGCCATTGTAAGCTGCAGAGCCTGGAAGAAAGGAGCGGGTTGGGGCTGCATTTTGCGCCTGGAACTAGGGGGAGGGACGTTGGGGGCGGCGGGGGGGGGAATAAGGCCCTGCCCCGCCCACCACCACTTTATTTGCCATTGTAAGCTGCAGAGCCTGGAAGAAAGGAGCGGGTTGGGGCTGCATTTTGCGCCTGGAACTAGGGGGAGGGACGGTCCTAACAAGGCAGGGGTCAAATACACCCTTTGCCCCTCTGCTGGTGTCACCAGTTATCTCATTGCTGGGGGGGGGGAATCACTTACTGTGACATCTCTTCTGCTTACAGCACGTCCTGCAAGAGCTGCCTTCTTTAAAGTCCTTCTGTAAGAAGGGGAGGGGAAGGGAGAAAGCAACAAAAGGAATCAAGAGAGAAGTTGGTTGCTTCTTTATGCTCGATTCGGGTTCTTGGAACTGACCAAAAGTTTGCAGGGGGTGTGGAAGATTGTCCAGGATTGGCAGCTTGTTGTGGAAGGGCCCATAAATCAAGCCAGAGTGCTGGACTGAACAGAAACGGCCTCTGATCAACCCTTGATTCCCCGCCCTGTGTTAGCTGATTGGCGAAGAACCAGACACTGGCGCTTGGGAATCTGAGAACCTTTCCTTTCTTCACATTTCTGCCTGCTGGCTGTCTGTCTCTCTGAAGAGTCTTGGCTGAATATGGTGCAGCAAGTTCTGTACAGAGCTTTGGTCTCCACCAAATGGCTAGCAGAAGCCGTACGGGCCAATAAAGTTGGCCCTGAACTGCGGGTGCTGGATGCCTCCTGGTATGAACCTGGCACCAGAAATGCCCAGAAAGAATTCCAGGAACGCCACATTCCTGGAGCCTCCATTTTTGATATAGAGGAATGCAAAGATAAGTCGTCACCTTATGAGCTCATGTTACCCAGCGAGAAGCACTTTGCTGATTACGTTGGCCAGCTGGGCATCAGCAATCAAACGCATGTTGTTGTCTATGATGGAGACCACTTGGGCGGCTTCTATGCGCCACGGGCTTGGTGGATGTTCCGGGTCTTTGGGCATCGAACTGTCTCCGTATTGAATGGAGGGTTCAAGAACTGGGTGAAAGAGGGACATCCTGTGACTTCTGAGATCACCCGGCCAGAGCCAGCCATTTTTAAAGCCACCCTTGACAGGTCACTCCTGAAGACTTATGAGGAGATGGTGGAGAATATGAAATCCAAGCGTTTCCAGGTGGTGGATTCCAGATCTGAAGGTCGATACGAGGGAACAGAACCTGAGCCAGGGAAGGAAGGTAAGAGCATCGCCTGGATCAACTTTGTCAGCAAAGGGATGTCTACTGGCATTAACTCTGGTGTGACCTGTTGTCCATATTCACCTCTCACTGATGTTGATTCACCCCTAAAATCCCTTTTGCATTGTTTGCAAGTCCCTTTGTGGACAAAGTCTTGTGGGCCCTTACATGGGACCCACAATTTCTGATACATGCATATAGGATGGGGAGTGGGGTGGGGTGTGTGTCAAAAAACCTAACAGGCAGTCCATAGACTGACTGGTCTTTCATTAAAAGCAAGCCGAACGCATTCATATAAAGGATTTCCGAGTCCACTTTCAATTAGAAGAATGGAACTATCTGAAAGCAATCACCTGTTAGGAAAGTTTTGAATTACTGTATATCCTCCTCTCCTTGCACTTCTCAAATGACATAAACAGTTATTTATACCACATAAGCAGAAGCCCCAATGTGTGTTTTTTCCCCTTCTTCTTTGGAATGCTACATCTGTTACTAACAAATCCACTACCAACAGTTACACTTGTTGGTATTCATGATTGCCAGCCACACTGTTCAAGTTCAATATACTGTAATGAAAAAAGAAGTTCTCCAGTTTACTCTTTCTACTGCAAAGAGCAAAACATTTTCTGTTTTCTCTCTCTCTTGCCTAGGACAAAAGCCTGCTTGACTAGTCTTTGCATTTTAATTATCCAGCTACTAGCTATCCCAAAAAGTTGCACAAGCAGTCCAAATATTTCCTCCTTTTTTTGTATGTTTCTTCCCCTCCCAAACAATACGAACAGCATTGCTGAGCTGTTACTTTTGATCTTATTGGACAAAGGACAGGAGTGGGGGAGGGGAGGTATGCAAACCTCCTGCAGATGTCGAAGCAGAATTGCAGCTTGCTAGTTGGTGTGTGTCTAGGGGGAATCCTCCAGAGTGATAAGTAAACACCCAAGTTAACATTTCCCTGTTGACACATCCCACCTCACCCAGTATAGCTTTTTGATCAGCAGAAGCAGCAGGACTGACCCTTCAACTGTTACTCATTTTCTAGGAGTGAAACACTTTTTCCTGTAAGAGAAAGTATAAAAAGTACAGTACAGTATATTTGTTATCCATATGCATTGCCAAGTATATTTGCTGTGCAGCTTTCTTTGCAGGCCTTTGTATTAAACCTGCAAACAACTTCAGGTGTAATGCTTGAATAGGACTTGTGTTTTGGGGCTGAGCTCCATCCTGAGGTTCAAGACGTCAACCACAGCCACCTTCTATATTTGAGATCAGTGCCATAACTAGAGTGGAGCAACTGGGCAGCAAAATCTAGAGAGCACCAAAGTCTAGAAGTAAATTTGCTAAAAATGTTAGGTTGATAAATGGCAACATCTCCTGGTGATTTTAGCCCACCCCCACTTTTTTATTTTGAAAGCATAAACATTCTCTTTTGGGAAGCATCACATTCTTCTCCCTTTTGTTGTGTGTGTGTGGTAGCTGCACACTCCCCTGCTTCAGGGTGCAGTGGATGGGAGATGATGCTGATTGCCCTAGGTATCAAAGCTGCTTGTTAGGATTATGCCTAAGTTTTTTTAAAGAAGCTCTCAACATGGCAGTGTCACACCAGAATATAAGTGGCATTGATTCTAGGCATGCATAAAAGCAAGTCATAAGGCAGGGTTGAGAAATCGTGCCTTCCTCCCCACTCCCAGTATTCTCGAACTCCGTTTCCCAGCTGTCTACCTTGGCCAGTGGTAGAGCATGATGGGACTTGCTGCTTATCCACAAGGAAAGACTGAAGATTCACAATAACTCCTTATTCTATACTCACTTACCTGGGGAGGCACCTACATATTTATCATGAGTTGCACTCAGTATCTGGGGTTATATGTTAAGCAATCACTTTCAAAGGGCTGTTGGAGCAATTTTTGGTTAATTCCTTTTAGTTAGCAGAGCATATAGTATAAAAGTCAACTGCAACACAGGGGAAACATGAAGGAGAATAGCTTCCACTTAGCCCCTTTTCTTCTCACAGTGTCTATACCAGGGGTCTCAAACTCAGTTTACCCGGGGGCCACTGGAGCAGAGGCTGGGTGAGGCTGGGCCACATCAGATTTTTCACCAAGCAGAGCATGAGCCCGAGGAAGCTGCCCAGGAGTTTCCTTAGCCGGGCTGGGGCTCCAAGGAGGAGGTGGAGGAGGGGGAGGGGGCGCGTGAGCCCTCGTTGCCAGCCACAACCCCCTCCGGCTCCTTCTTCACTACCATCACCAGCAGCAGCAGCAGGACGAAGCAGAGAAGGGAGGGAGCGCCGATGACTGCCTAGCGGGGGGAGGGGAGGAGGAAGCACCGCCGGGTGCTGAGGCGGCCGCTGGCCAGGCTGGTGCTGTGGGGGCCGAGAGAGAAAGAGAGCCAGAGAGCCGCTTCCCTGGAAGAGGAGGCAGCGGCGGCAGCTGCTGTTGGTGGCTTGGAGGCGCTCTTTGAGGATGGGGCGGGAGTGAGCTCCACTCTCAGGCATCACTAGACGGTGGCTCGGGCACTTGGGGAAAAAGGCCAGCAGAGCACCTCGCTTACCGGCTCTCCCCCAAGACAGTGCCTCTTGCACCCTCCATCCAGTACTGCACCCTGCCAGCCGGCAGACAGGCAGGCTGGCTGGCAGGCTGCAGTTCCAGATGGAGGGTGCAAGAGGCGCTGTGTTGGGAGAGAGGCGGCGAGCGAGGTGAGGCTTTTTTTTGACTCTTGACAGCAGAGGATGCATGGTCGCTTCAGGGGGGGCAGGCAAGGTGGGGGCCACAAACTATCATCCAGCGGGCCGCAAATGGCCCCCAGGCCGCATGTTTGAGACGCCTGGTCTATACCTTTGTATATAAAAATCACTCTACAAGTGGCTTAAAGAGGAAAAGAAAAACATCTTTACTTATAGATTTAAAACTTCAATTACAATCAGAAGAATAAAAAGGATACAGAAAGAAATTGCAGTCTCAGCCATCTTGGCTGAAATCCACTATGTTGGTCAGAGGTCAGGAAGAAAAGTTTATATGTTTACTCAGGTCATAGAAGAAGAGAGAGCAAACAAAATAACTGACTTAAACAGACAGGAAGAGGGGGTGGAGGTTGCCTCCAGATCAAGGTAAAAAGGACTTTGTTACTAGGTTAGAGGCAAGGCATAATTATGTTACGCTGTGAAGCCGCCTTCCCACTGAAACCAAGTGTTTGATTGCCTTGAAGATTGATATTTTCTTCAACAAGGATCATGTATATTTAAGCACCTGTATCAAAGCCCTATGTTCACACTTGTGTTAATATTTCTTGGGATGGATTTAGCTAATTTTACCAGTTTTATTCTGACAGTTCATGATCCCTTTGAAATAACTATCTGCAATGGCCTGAAAAATACACAGATTAGCAGAATGTTTGGAGAGGAATAATCTCTGTGAGGGAGGGTGCAAAATTCTTTGTTTGTAATTTTATCTTAGAGTAAATGTGAATTCTTATATCTCACCCACCCCAAATGTTGCAGAACCTCTCAGGTAAAATACTTAGAACAAAGCTGCATAAGCATAATGTTTAGTCCTCAAGCCCTATAGGAAAGACTGAAAGAACTGGACTTGTTTAGACCTGAGAAAAGAAGACTGAGGGGAGATATGCTAGCACTTGAAAAGTATTCATTTGAGGAGAGACAAGATCTGTTTTCGCGAAGGCTTTCATGGCCGGGATCTAATGGTTGTTGTGGGTTTTTCGGGCTCTTTGGCCGTGTTCTGGAGGTTGTTCTTCCTAACGTTTCGCCAGTCTCTGTGGCCGGCATCTTCTGAGTGCTGTCCTCTGAAGATGCCGGCCACAGAGACTGGTGAAACATTAGGGAGAAAAACCTTCAGAATACGGCCAAAGAGCCCGAAAACCCCACAACAATCGTAAGATCTGTTCTTGATCATCCCAGAGTGCAGGACACAATGGTCTCAAGTTAAAGGAAACCAGATTTAGGCTGAATAGCAGGAAAAACGTCTTAACTGTTAGAGTCGAACCAATTACCTCGGGAGGTGGTGAGCACTCCTCTTTTCAAGAGAAAATCAATCATTTGTCAGATTGGCTTTGATCTGGATTCCTGCACTGAGCAGGGGGTTGGACTCAATGGCCTTACAGGCCCCTTCCAGCTCAATTACTCTATGATTCTATGCACCTTTGCTCTAAAGAGTTACATTAATTTATTACAACCAACCTCTTTAACTGGTGCCCTTTGTTATTTTTGCATTAGAGGCTTGCAGAAAAGGAAGAATATCCAGCATCCATTCTAATTCATCCCTTGGTAGCCTGGACCGATATGGTAGTTTAAAATGCAGCAGAAATATAGCCATACTAAACCAGGTGCAGGTGTCTTTCAGATATCTGTCGCAGACATTAGGACTTTTCATGCAGAAAACTTACTTGCCCCTGTTCTTGGCCATCACTGATATAATCAGCTATTCTTCCTGAGTTTAGCCGCAGATCACACACAATAATAGATTATTTCAAGAACAGTATCTTGTAACAAGCTATCCCTTTTGGCTAAAGGAAGCAGGAAAAAAGGAAGACCAAGCATGAGTAGGATTGACCTCATAAAGGATTTATTTATTTATGTCATTCAAACTATTTTTGCCTTGCCTTTCTCCTTGAAAAGGACCCAGACTTGAGTGTGCAAGAGCTGAACAGGGCTGTTGATGAGGACAGAGCCTTTTGGAGAGCACTCATTCATAGGATCACCATAAGTTGGGGGGGCACAACTTGATGGCACATAATAAATCACTTTGGAGGTGCAGGATATTTGTTTTGAACAGGCAGTCATCAGATTTACTGCAAACAAAAACAAAAAACATTCCCATTTAATGGTTGGGACTAATCCAGCTGGCTGAATTTTTGGACTTTACACTATTCCAAGTCCTCCGTACAGAGCACGTAAAAAACATTCCCATTTAATGGTTGGGACTGATCCAGCTGGCTGAATTTTTGGACTTTACGCTGTTCCAAGTCCTCCATACAGAGCACGTTACCATAGTCTTTCGAGACTGAAGGATGCCTAATGAATGATGATGGCTGTTCATAGGGAGTGTCATGATGAGCCTCTATACTTACTACTACATGGAAACATCACTGATTAATTAACTAATTCATCACAGTATCCTTTTTTATGATGGTTCCACCGAGGAATTGCAGCTATTTAGAAAATAACATATGGGGGATAATTTTGTGAAACATTTTTTCCATGTGATTGTGGTCACCAGTGACTCTAGATGCATGCAGAATATTACTGGGGAAATTGAAATGTGTGGTTCTGTTTATTAATAGAACTGAAAGATTGTTATCTAGGGGGAAGGGCAAAGTAAACATTTATTTTCACTTCAATATATCTAGCTATGTCATGTTGTCCAGGGGAAGTGAGGAGCTCCAGAGCCAATTCCTGAGGAGCACAGAGACGGCAAATCAAGAATCAAATGAGATGGAAAAAAGTCCATCTGGAATAGAGGGAGATTAATGGTGGCAAGCTTCCAGAACAACTTTTCAGAGGAGTTGCTGCAGCTTCTGCATTCCAGTCATGTCTCTTATCTTAACATTCTCTCTCTCTCTCTCTCTCTCTCTTTCTCTTTGTACGTGTGTGTTGATGTAGGAGAGGGGCGGAGAGTAAAGCTAAGGTTTCTTGCAGCAGCATCTTTTAGTAGAGGGCCATACCATATCTGAGTCACTATGGTAAATAAGTCTTTATAAATATTTTAAATGGTTTCTAGAATCATAGAATTGTAGATCTGGAAGGACATTAAGGATCATTCAGTCTAAGAATGGGCAAGCAATGTCCCACAGCACCTGTGAAGGTCCCAGCACCCCCATGAAACCCCCAATTTCTTAAAAAAACTTTGACTCAAAATGTCATCTTTCTCCCTTCGGGGTTACATAGGCACCTTTTTCATGTTGTGTGCGACAGTGCGTATGGCAGGGGCAAACTTTCATAAGAGAATTTGGAGTGGAAAAGAAGTGGGTGCAATTGTCCAGGGATGGATGTGTGGCAGCTTTGATGTAGTGCAATTCTCTGCCAATGCAAGAAAAAAAATAGATACAGATATTTAGATTAGATTAGGCATTTTTTAGTCTTGAGAGCCTATGGTAATGTGCTCTGTATGGAGGACCTGGAACAGTGTCTAGTGTGGCTGAGAAGGCCAATTCAAGAGTGACAATCTTGTCCACACTGAAGACACATACAATCTGTCACCTGACAATTGTTGTTGGCATCTGCTGTATGCGGCATAACATGAGGCCTTGCTATGCTGATGAGTTGAATGCCTCTCTCTGTCTGTGTGTTATTCCTGCACTTTCTGCATCTCCAGTGGCTTGTGACTCAGTGTTTTGTCTAAAATGTTACATGGCTTGGAGGAATAAGGTCCAGTAAAATAAAATATCTGTTGGTACGGTTGTTTTTCATGAAGTCAGAACCAACTTAAAGTGAACCTAAAAGGGATTTCAAGGTGATTGATTAGGCATCCTTCAGTCTCAAGAGACTATGGTAATGTGCTCTGTATGGAGGACTTGGAACAGCGTCTAGTGTGGCTGAGAAGGCCAATTCGAGAGTGACAATCCCTTCCACGCTGAAGACAAATACAATCTGTCCCCTGTCCAGCTCCCTGGTTTTGCTGCTTTCGGGATTGCCTCTTTGCCTCAGCCTGCTGGACAAGGGTCTCTTCAAATTGGGAGAGGCCATGATGCAACGGCTGCCTCCAGGCTGAACGCTCAGATGTCAAGGTTTCCCATCTGTTGAGGTCCATTCCTAAGGCCTTCAGATCCTGCTTGCAGATATCCTTGTATTGCAGCTGTGGTCTCCCTCTAAGGCAATTTCCCTGCTCTAGTTCTCCATAAAGGAGATATTTTGGAATCTGACCATCAGCCATTCTCATGACATGCCCAAGCCAACGTAGATGTCGCTGTTTCAGATACAGATGAACAGGTTGAATATTTTGATGCATTGATTCCTATCAGTGTCAAGATGGCAGGACTTTGGGGCATGTGTCCAGGAGCTCCACTGAGCAGAATGAGCGGAGGGAACCCTCAAAGCAGCAGGGCTGGTTTACTGCTAATTGTTTTCATTATGTTATGCACTACACCCAATTTGGTGTACTGGGTAGAGTGACAGACTAGCTTTTGGGAAACTTGGGTTCAAATCCCCATTTGGCCAGGGAAACTCACTTGGGTATGAGTGAACCACTCCTTCAATATCTCACTTACCTTGAAAGCCCTATTCTGATTCTTAAAATTTAGTTCCATCGTAATGGCATGTAACACAGTACACTACTGCCCAAAGAATTCTGTAGCCTGTAAAAGTAAAATGAATCTTCAGAATCTGTAATCATCTAGCTCCACAATGGCCAGTAGTTTCTTTGAATACTATAAGGGGCCAAGCAGAACTTGCAACCTTCCAGGTCAAATGTTATGGGGTTCACTAGTTTCCTTTGACAGTTCCTCACTTTGAATAGGAAATGACAATAAAGGAGTTTCATCAAAATAATCTTTATTAATATTAGAACTTTTTCCTTTCACAACATCAACTGGACTATTAAAAGTAAAAATTCTGTGGTAAACAGTCACACGTCTCTGGCAACAGTTTTTCTAATGTCTCCTCTTTCAACGATATGTCTTCCCGAACATCTCCTAGTCGGTTGGCATCCTCAGATACCCACTGCAAACTGCAAAAATAGTCCCGCAGCAGGGGTGTCTGGCCCATTCGCCCTCCGGAGGTTTCTCTCCCAAGGAAAGAGGTTTGGGTCTGATTACATTCTTCACAGGACCTTTGCCCTGCGGGTACACCAAGACTGTCCATTCTTCGGGATGTAAACCCTCGATGATCGGTTTAATCCCTTCAGTTTTACACTCACTCAATTCCCAAACGCAATCATGCTTATCTATCACTTTCTTTAGTATCTTAAATACTTTAGGTTCGTCTAGTTCTTCTTTCCAACTATCACCAATAACCATCACTTTCTGCATCTCTCCTGCTTGACCTCCTTCCTCTGAAGTGAGGAAAACATCTAACCCCCTCTGACTGGACTCGCTCTCACACTCTCTAACTCCTCTTCTTTTTCCCTCACACTTTTAACCCTTTCATATCCTCGGTCACGCTCATCTCCTCCTTCACATTTCCCTTCCCTGGGATCTCCCTTCCAGATGGCTGAGAGGATGGCACACTCTCTGTTATTTCCTTTTGTTCCTTCACTGGCTCACATCAAAACATTACAGCAACCTATGTATTTTGAGTGACTGTATTTTCTATCATGTGCTCTAGAAACCCTGAGCTAATCGTGCTGTGAAAAATGAGGGTTGTTCCCTGCCACCTCAGTGAAGGCCACAAGTTACAGATGAAGGGCTACATAGCTCAGTGGTTTAGGTATCTGTCTGTGGAGCCATAGGTTAGGAGTTCAATTCCCCACTGCGCCTTCTTGACAGGGATAGCACTCAATGATCCATAGGCTCCCTTCCAGCTCTGTAGTTCTAGATATCTAAAGGCCTGATCACACCTGGCAAAAGAACTCAAGTTATACCAATATAGTCATGTTTTTAGATCATTTCATAAATTTCCGAGCACATGAGGCACAGTCAAGATATACTCATTTTCCTGGCCAGCGGTTCATTTCTCCCTCACCAGGAGGGTTATTTTATTTTGTATCTATGATGAATCACTTCATCATTCCTTATCATTTCAGTCTGTGTGAAAGTTGCTATTGATTTATTTTCTTTGCAAAGAGGTCGGGTTCCTGGGCAATGTGGCTACTTCATGGCCACTGCGCTTGTATCCTTAAAAACAAAAAGATATATGAACAGATCAGTATTAGGATCTACTGGCACCATCGCTGCTGCTGCTACCATCACAAAAACCCAACATGAATACATTGCTCAGAAGGAGACAAACTCCCCCCCCCACATCTTGCAGGTGAAATAGGGCTTCAGACTTCCTATTTTGAATTGTAAAGAAAGGAGTGATGCATTTTTTAAACCCTGCTCTTCACAATACTTTGAAAGTCTTTCAAAACTCTCTTCCTCCTCCGGACGCAAAAGGGAAAAGATACGCAGGAGGAGGGAAGGGAAAGGGGGAGGAGGAAAGAAGCCATGTATTTCTGTATCAATACACCAACTTTGGTAATATTTTTTTAAAAGGACATGGGGGGCTGATTGCCCCAAGAAAATGAATTGCTACAAAATTAAACAGCAGTGTAGGCTACTATAATGGTTTAAATAGAAAGAAATGAATTGATACAGTTAAAAACAATGTGAATGTTGCCACGTTTATATGTACCTTGTGACCATGAAAATAAATGTACTGTACAGTATCGGTACCACAGAGGTATTGAAAGATTTGGTTTAACTGAGGTTCTGTGATCAGGTGTGATTAAGATAAAGAATTTAGTTTGATGTGACATGGGTGATGTGATTTTCCAAATGTGAACCATACATTAAACATCTTGAAGTGTCTACAGAGGCATCACTCTTTTCAAAACTTGTCAAAAAAGGAATTTGTTTTCTCTCCTTCCTCTTGCCTTCTCATTGATAAGTGTGCTGAGAAGCACATTCTGCTTCTCCACAGATAAGGACAAATGTATAAGAAATAACACTGTAGCCCAATAGTGAGATTGCAGCTTATCGCCTCTTGGGAAACCTTTGAAATGTGCTGTGAGTTAGACAGTGATTAGCTAGAATCTTATCGCCTGCCTACGATAATCTCAAATAATATTCTCTCATGACTCAACATACTTATTAAAAGTATAGTGAGTCATGAGAGAAATTTATTTAATCATGAGAGAAAAATGCCCACAACTGCAGACACAAAATGACATGTGCTCTTTCTCCCCTTTTGTCACTTCAGCTTGTTTCTCCGAATCTGTCCTAAATCTATGGTACTGAGGTAGTCATCTCAGCAGGAGGCCAGCAAGCCTAGTGCTACCAGCTTCAAGAACCAGCTGCAGATAATAAAATAATAATTAGGATATTAACTTGGAGCATGTGCAGAGTAGCTATTCCATATTATTGAGGAATCATCCCCAGCTCTGACATGTTTGGATTTAGGGGTAGAAAGAAAACATCCTGAGCAGAACATATGAATACAAGGATTTAAACGTTATGGAGTCTGCACTGTGAATATCTTGTCAGGAGCCCAGCTCAATAGATTCATTTAATTTCTTAATTGTTTCATGTATATTTGCAGTTTTTTGATCACTTTTTTTCAGATTCATTCTTCTTAATTTGTTATTTAATGAAAGCTTTTAAGTTCTGTAGATCTGTCCCAAAATGTAGCCGATTACAAACATTAGAAATGTTTAGAATTAGAAACACTTCTAAACATTAGAAATGTTTATTTCCAATCGGCTATTTTTAAATAAGCCTCTCTTTTTTTAAATTAGATTTTACATAATTGCTATTTGTTGTTTGGTGGGTTGTTTAAATAATAATTATTTTAATACTGTTTCTACCACCATGTTATTACATTTAATGCCTTTAGTTTTTCAGGCTGAAGTCAGGATTGTTCTCATTGCTGTATTTCACTCACATGGAGTCCCTCTAGAAATTTTCCTTGTGTCCCCTTTTTTCCTTTCCTCTCTTCTAGGACTTGAACCAGGCCATATCCCAGGCACTCTGAACATGCCTTTTTTCAATTTCCTGACTGAGGAAGGATTTGAGAAGAGCACAGAGGAGCTCCAGAGCATGTTCCAGGAGAAGAAAGTGGACCTCTCAAAGCCACTAATTGCTACCTGCCGGAAGGGGGTTACAGCCTGCCATATAGCCCTGGCAGCATACCTGTGTGGGAAACCAGATGTGGCTGTCTATGATGGATCCTGGTCAGAATGGTTTCGCCGTGCACCACCAGAGCACAAAATTTCCAAGTGGAATCGCAACAAGGCTTAAGTGAAGGAACATCCTTCTGTCAACATCTTTTACTTGTTTATGTTATGAAACTGGTGCTTAATCATTTCTAACAAAGGATAGAGAAATAGATGAAATTCCTGTTCTTTTATAATTTTCTAGTTTTCTAATCCATAAATCTGGTAATTTAATAAAACAGAATTTCAGGTTAAGTGGTGTTTTCTCTCTTTGCCCATAGTAAATGACAGAACAAGAATATTTCCATGGTGATGATGATGATAATTAGCCATAGTAGGAGTAGCAGCAGTAAGTTTAACACCACTTATATCCAGGTTTCCTGTTGCATAAATTTGGGATCCTTGTGACCAAACATTGTTAGTTTGCAGGCCTAGCTAGCATAGCTAATGATGAGGAATGATCAGAACTGCAATTCAGTGCCACATAAAGAACAACAAGTTGCTCTCTATATCACAGAGCAATACCCAGTGTAGTTTATAATCAACATACCGTAATTAAAAGTACAGTCTGGAAAACTTGCATTATGTCAGCTGCCTTGGAGCTCTGCATGGAAAGAAAGGCAGGATCTAAATTAAATAAACAAATACTAAACCAGCAGAGTAAAACAGATTGGGAGATCACATCCACAATGCTGCCATGTCCACTGAAACAAAATAGTTTTTATTTAGTGTCAATATACCATCAGACCAAGGCCAAGGAGATTCTCCAGTACTGCTGGAAAGAAGGTCCTCTCCTGAGTACTCTCTAAATAATATCTGCTAGGAATCAGGGTGTGTCTGGGCAAGCAGGATCATGCAAGAGGACATTCTTTCAGATATCCTGGGTCTGAAGTTATTTAAAAATGACAATCAGCTGTTTAAGTTGGGCTCAGAGATAGACCCCCATGTTCTCTTTAACATTCAGGACTGCATTGTATATTATAAATTCAAGGTCAAGATCTTGTTCACATCTATATAGGAGTATTATCTAGTGGATTTGGTAGGATTTACTTTGAAAGAAAATTGCAAGTGTATATATCATTACACATTACATTCAATTTTCATTAAGTTTTTCCAGCCAGGGAGCTGTGATTGACTGCAGTTTCTCAGCAACGGTGCGTACAGTACAGTAAAGACAGACAACGTCTTTCAACTTGACAGTATGCATTCCTAATGTGTATCATACAAATATATCTTTACTCCAGTCTTTTCATAATTCCCTCTATATCTGTTGCACAGGTGTGAGTATAGATGCTTGTGCAGCTTACATGCAGAAAGGAGGTATCAACTATCTGGAAGGAGAACACAGTTGGCTGGCTGGATCCCATAGCAATATATAGTTTCAAGTTCCATGTGTTATTTGCTCTAATTCTTATTATTCCTTGCTCTTTCTTTTGCAAGCTGGCTTAAGGTGTCTACCAATGGTTTCTATGCAGGCACTAAGAAAAAATTACCGCTTTGATTTCACACATCACATCCTTTCTTTCATCTTTTCCATATGAGTGGTCCACTCTTTAAGTTAGTATAATGTGTGATCCTCCGAAGAATTGAGTGACAGCATTTCCCACCATCAGTTTGAGTTCAAAATCTGCCATTTGAAGCAGATTTACATCAAAACTTCTGTTGCTCAGCTATCAATTCCCAGATTACATCAGATTCCTTCCATGAGGGAAGGAAGAAGAGAAAATCAGTGACCAAACATAAGCTGTGAAATCCATCTGTTTTGATTCAAACCCAGTGTTTTCATTAGACAAAAGGAAGTAAAATACTATAGCCTATCAGAAGACTGAAGGTCAGCACACCCTTTTAAAGCACATTGACCAGGATCCAATAGTATGCTTAAGCACATTGATCATAGTGGATGTGAGTGTGCTTTCTTCCTTTCTGGACATTGCCAAGAAAGAGAAGAATGCCAAGAAATGGAAGAGGGGGAAGAAGAAACAACAGGGGTCAAAGGGGAAAAAAACACAAAAAGAGAATTATCAGAGACTAAACAGATCATTATAGCAACACCCCTGGGCTGAAGTAACTACTTTTAAGTTAGGCTTCGAGTAACCATAACCATTGCCAATAATTTCAATGCTCATCTCCAAAGTGTTTCTTCTGTTGATTCATAATACTTTCATGGAATGGTAAAAATGAAGTCCTGGTATGGTAATTTTGCTAGGCTGGGTGCCCCATAGTTCTCTTCATGTGGGAAAGAAGTGCTCTCCTTCACATTCAAATGAATCCAAGCAGAAGAGCTGCCATTTGTGAGCAAAATTTTTCAGCCCTACTGCCCACCAAGCCTGCCTTGTTGACTCAGTTCAGAAAATCCTATAGTTGAGAGCATATAGCACACTGGTCAAAATGTTATTTTGACTTCTATAACCACACCATGGTGCTAAAGGACTCTCTAGGTTGTTTACAATGTAATTATGCAAACAACACTTTGCCCACCAGAGAGCTGGGTGCTCATCTTACGACCCTGTTTCCCCGAAAATAAGCCCTAACCTGAAAATAACCCCTAGTATGATTTTTCAGAATGCTTGTAATATAAGCCCTACCCAAAAAATAAGCCCCAGTTAAGTGAAACCCCACCCTCCACCATTGTGCAACAACCAGAAGAAGATGACATGACTGTATTGGAATAAATGTAGTTGTAAAGGAAAAAAAATCCCCTGAAAATAAGCCCTAATGCATTTTTGAAGCAAAAATTAATATAAGATCCGGTCTTATTTTGGGGAAAACATGGTAACCTCGGAAGGATGGAAAGCTGAGTCAGCCTTGAGCCAGCTACCTAAATCTGTTGGGATTGAACTCAGATCTGCCTGACAGAACAAGACCATGAGAACCTCCCATCCTAGTAACACCAATCTCCTCCTTACCTATTCCCCTTATCCTCAACTCTTTTCCCTTTTAAAAAATTCAACAGATGATACACTGCTGATTTAATGCAATGCTGCATTTCATGGAACCATAACAATTTTTAAAACCAAAGATTTTCATGGAAAGAGGAGAGGTGCTCATTAGAGAGAGATGTTCCAACTTACCTGCCATATTGCACTCCACTGAAAATGTCACCATCACCAAGGAGACCCCCACTGCCCCTTTCAGACTGATACAGGCAATCACACAGGACCAAAAAAATCTGTGGGATGGGGATGGGGATGGGGGAGGAAGCAACGCATGGGAAATTGGCACAAAAAAGCCATAGCTTTTGCTGACAGAACAAAATGCAACAAATGACTATGAAATTTGACTACATTGTCTAATGCTTAGTTTTACATCATGTGACCAGCAGGAAATAACTCAAAAATCAATTGTAGTAACTTCTGCAAAAGCTGCTGGATGTTGTAATGTGGTAGAGCTCTGAGAATTCAACCTTTAAGTGGGGAATGTTCTATCAACTTCAATGTACTTAATTCCTGAATAGTGTCTGTGGGATTTGAAGCCAAACCATACATGACCCAAGAGAAGCTTCATTGGACCTCCCAGTGTTGCTGTTTCTTGTTTGTTTTCAGTTTTTTTGTTTGTTTGTTTTAAGCATCCATAGAGATACAGGAGTAACATTGGATCAGGGCAATGTTGCTGAGGGGATATAAATTATTCCCCTTACGCTTGTTTCATTTGAAGATAGGTTCTGAGCACTTCAGATACAAAAATAATCTCTTCTCCTGAAGGTGGTATAACTTTATTGCAAAAGATAACAGTTATTGTGCCATTACTCCTCTGCCCCCCCATAGTAGAGCAGTTTGGTGGGGACATCTTTCAAATAGGAACTTTATGTGAGGCTAGTGTTATCCTCCCGCTACACCTCTGTCCTCTTCTGACCCAACATAGTTCAGCATTAGATTTTCTTGCGGGAGGGCAATTTCTGAGGGTCCATTTTCCTCCATCATGTAACATGAAAGGCAGTAACCCCATTCTGATACTTGAAGGTATGGAGGCCCCTCCCCCCGGAACATTTGAGGAAGATGTTGGAAACTTTGGCAGTTGTAGACTTTTCTGTCTCTAGGAATTTGTTTGTGTAGATACTTAAAAGTACCTTGACATCCTAGTAAAGAAGGATGATATATTTTAATTATATAATTGTCTTATATTTTATTCCTTAAGATGAGGCGGGTGTATAGGAAAGGAGGTATAGAAACTATCAACAATTAAACAAACAAATATCTATTCTCAAACAAACAAATTCTCAAAATAATTACCATCATTACATGTCAAGAGTTGGGAAATCTGATCCAAAACCCTCTTAGTATGTGAACTTCTCTTTAGCTACCAAAAATAAATTTCAGCGGGTACCTCTGTTTATGTGGGTTCCCAGGACAACCACAGCTCACAGATGAGGAATGGTGGTTCCTTAGCAACCCTCCTTGGTGATTCCTTGCAGTTCCACCTCTTTGTCTCCACTTCTAGGCTAGGCAAGGACCTGCTTGACTTTCAAGAACTACTTTGGCACCTCAGATGAGACCATGGAAGAGGTGAGGCTCATGTTTATGAGGAGGACATAAGTTCTGGGCACTTCAGAGGCAAATATACCATATATATTTATATAACCCCTCCCCCACCAATAGGGAGTTACACACAAAGAAAGCTGCTGAGGGTCTTATGACCTACACAAAGGGGCTTAGTTTTTTAGGCACAGATCAGTGCAGTGAGTCTTGCTGCTCTCTTGCTGCTGGTCCAGGCCACATGTGGCAGGCATGTGGGCTTCTCCTTGGCCACCTCTGGCAACTCATTTGGAGCCACATCTGGTTGGCATCCCTGGGACCTGCCTGGCATTTATATAGCTCATTTATTATCATAGTGCTGCTCTTCCCAGCCAGAGGTGTTGTGAAACTGGCCAGACAATATATATGTTGCCGTAAGGAGACTAGCGGCTTCTTTCAGAACCTGAGGGAACTTGAGGGTCTTAGCCCCTCACATGACAGCAAACAAGAGCCAAATATGACTAGTCCCTTGTTCCAGTATGCAGAGGGGCCTGAGGAGATTAGCCCCGTGCTACGATACCTACAGCACCCAGAAGAGTTTACTGCCTTGCACCAGCAACTACCGCAGCCTGAGGAAAAGGCTGATACCTCAGCCAAGGAGTCAACAGAATTTAGTCCTGTTCTCCAGTACCTACAGCAGCTAGAGGAAATTGGTAGTAACTTGCTCCAATGGGATCGCTGTTTCATGTTGTCTTCCCCAGGAAATGCCAACCATGTGGAGGATGCGACTCAGGTGAAAACCTGGGGGGAGGGGTAGTCAAGCTCATCAAGAGCTTGGGAAATTTGTTATTTTAAGACTACAGCTCTCAGGATCCGTCAGGCTGGATGGCCATTCTGGGAGATGCTGTGCAAAAGAGCAACTTGCTCAGACTGTTCAGGGAGAACAAAGAAAATGCTGACTCTCTAGTTTAATGCTAAACCTTTGGTATCCTAAATGTCTCAGTCTACAACTCTCATAATTACTTAATGTTGGCTATACTGGATACAGCTTCTAAGAGATGGAAAAGAAAATATCTCAAGTACAAATATGATTCACTCCTTGTTTTTGACTGTCCTTTAGAACAATGGTCCCCAACCTTGGGCCTGCAGATGTTCTTGGACTTCAGCTCCCAGAAACCCTGGCCAGCAGAAGTGGTGGTGAAGGCTTCTGGGAGTTGTACTCGAAGAACATCTGGAGGCCCAAGGTTGGGGACCACTGCTTTAGAACATTCAGATGTCACAGAAACAATGAGGAATTTAGCAATAATTTTGCTTTCTTACATCTAAATGGACTATAATGAATCAGCCACAAGAGTTAGTAGAAGCTGAAATATTTCATTACAGGCTCAGGAAGATTTCCCAATATTGTGAGCAATCCACACTCTTTCGCTCATGCTTTTTACATCAAAACAATATGATAACATGGCATAAATGTGAGTTGAGATGATTTGTAACCAATAAGAAAGAAGGTTAGTGAACAGTGTAAAATAATAAGAATCATTTGTAAAGACCTTTGAGAGATTATGTCAAGCACAGGGATCAGGGGCATGTCAGAAGCAAGGAAGAACCAGCATGTGTAGGCCCATATTTGCAAATCTTATTTCTACTAGCTATGACGAGTGTAGCTGTCTATGGTGACCAAAGGTTGTCATTAAAAAAAAGGAGGAGGGGGTGGGACAAATAAATAATTGGAAAATAACATGTTGGTATTAACAGCATCTCCGACTTACCTGTTGAGTAACAAGGACATAATATTATTCTTTTCCCCTCGTGTTTTATCATTAAAGCCAAAGGCTTTTTGTGTGTGTAATAAACACTTCACGGATTGCTGCCTTGTCGTGGTGACGGGGCTTGAGTAATTCAGAGAAGCTATGGGCCATACCATGCAGGGACACCCAAGATGGACAGGTCATAGTGGAGAGTTCTGACTAAACATGATCCACCTGGAGCAGGAACCGGCAAGCCACTCCAGTATCTTTGACAAGAAAACTCCATGGACAGAAACAAAAGTCTAAAAGATATTACGCTGGAAGATGAGCCCCTCAGGTCGGAAGGTGTCCAACATGCTACTGACGAAGAGAGGAGGACAAGGACAAGTAGCTCCAGAGCTAATGAAGAGGTTGGGCCAAAGCCGAAAGGATGCTCAGCTGCATATGTGCATGGAGGTGAAAGGAAAGTCTGATGCAAAGAAAAATACTGCATAGGAACCTGGAATGTAAGATCTATGAATCTTGGTAAGCTGGATGTGGTCAAACAGGAGATGGCAAGAATAAACATTGACATCCTGGCGTCAGTGAACTAAAATAGGTGGGAATGGGTGAATTCAATTCATATCTACTATTGTGGGCAAGAATCCCATAGAAGAAATTGAGTCACCATGATAGTCAACAAAAGAGTGGGAAAAGCTGTACTGGGATACAATCTCAAAAATGATAGAATGATTTCAATATGAATCCAAGGCAGACCTTTCAACATCACTGTAATCCAAGTTTATATTATTCTCATTACAGGAGATTGAAATGCTAAAGTTAGGGAGTCACGAGATAAAAGGAACAACAGGTAAGTTTGACCTTGGAGTTCAAAATGAAGCAGGGCAAAAGCTAATACTGTAGAGTTTTGTCAAGAGAACAAGCTGGTCATCACAAACATGGTTTTCCAACAACATAAGAGGCAACTCTACACATAGACATCACCAGATGGGCAATACCGAAATCAGATTGATTATGTTCTCTGTAGCCAAAGATGGAGAAGCTCTATACGAGACCTGGAGCTGATTGTGGCTCTGATCATCAGCTTCTTAGAGCAAAACTCAAGCTTAAACTGAAGAAATTAGGAAAAACCACTGGGCTAGTCAGGTATAATCTAAACCAAATCCCTTATGAATACAAAGTGGAAGTGAAGAACAGATTTAAGGCACTAGATTTGGTGAACAGAGTGCCCAAAGAACTATGGATGGAGGCTCGTAATATTGTACAGGAGGCAGCAACAAAAACCATCCCAAAGAAAAGGAAATGCAAGAAAGCAAAGTAGCTCTCCGATGAAGCCTTACAAATAGCAGAGAAGAGAAAAGAAACAAAATGCAAGGGAGATAGGGAAAATTGAGAAAGAACCTCTTAATGAGGGTGAAAGAGGAGAGCACAAAAAATGGTCTGATGTTCAACATCAGAAAAACTAAGATCATGTCCTGTCACCTCCTGGCAAATAGAAGGGGAAGATATGGAGGCAGTGATAGATTTTACTTTCTTGGGCTCCATGATCACTGCAGATGATGACAGCAGCCACAAAATTAAAAGACACCTGCTTCTTGGGAGGATAGCGATGACAAACCTAGATGGCATCTTAAAAAGCAGAGACATAGCCTTGCCGACAAAGGTTTGCATAGTCAAAGCTATGGCTTTTCCAGTAGCAATGCATGGAACTGAGAGCTGGGCCATAAAGAAGGCTGACTGCCAAAGAATTGGTGCTTTTGAATTCTGGTGGTGGAGGAGACTCTTGAGAGTCCCCTGGACTGCAAGGAGAACAAACCTGTCAATTCTGAAGGAAGTCAACCCTGAGTGCTCACTGGAAGGAGAGATCCTGAAGCTGAGGCTCCAATACTTTGACCATCTCATGAGAAGACTCCCTGATTTTGGGAAAGTGTGAAGGCAAGAGGAGAAGAGGATGACAGCGGATGAGATGGCTGGACAGTGTCATCGAAGCTACCAGAATGAATTTGACCCAACTCCGGGAGGCAGTGGAAGACAAAGGGCCTGGCATGCTCTGGTCTATAGGGTCACGAAGAGTCGGACACGACTTAATGACTAAACAACAATAAATAAGATATATTTGTTACTTCTAAGGCTAGGGAGGATTTTCTTTTTTTCCTATTTCTTCCTACCTAACATATCTAAAGCAAAGCTTCAAAAATTAAAAACACATGACTTAGAAATAGTGTAAAATTATATTATAAATATCAACATCAATATTGATGCTTTATACATTTTAACAGCTCTGAAAATTGGATATTGAAAAGTCAGAATCAGAAGCTGCAATTATCCATAGATATTCTGATTCTTTGTACAGTATCTTCTTCACATGGAATTCATCATTCAACCAGACTGATCCTTGTCTCACTCTTAAGTAATAATTGATCATTAACATTTTATCTTGCTCCACTCTCACTATAATTTTATGTCTGTTTTTGTAGTTATGTAAGTGTTTGCTTGTTTTCCCACCCCATGCCCATTTTTGATGTCATGTTTAGATTGTGACTCTGTGGGCAGGAAGAGAAAATGTTTTCTGTTTTCATGGGGGAAAACTGGTGCTGGAGCTGACTTGAAGGCAATTGATTTGAAAGCTATAAAGTGGGAGGCAGGATTTTATTTAATTATTTATTTAAAATATTTTTACTGCACCTTTCTCCTTAAAAAAGACCCAAAGTGGATTACATAATTAAAAGACAATATTTAAAGCTAAAAACAGTAAGTATAGAAATACTTAAAGGGATCAAACAAACACCACACTAAAAGACAGTGAAAAAATGCAATACCAAAAACACATTCAGTGGAGTAAGGCGCAAGAACCCATTTAAAAATCCCACTCAGGCAGCCAGTCATAGATAGAAAGCTTGCCTAAAGAGAAATGACAGCAAAGATGGGGACAGCCTGGCCTCCTGTGGCAGGGAGTTCCAAAGTCTGAGAGCAGCAACAAAGATGCAAGATCATCTCTTGCTCGCCTTATCTAAACATTATTGGAAATCCCAAGCGCATTATTATTTTGGCAGAGCTTGAAAATACTATTTTTGTGGGACTGTAACTTAAAAAAAAAAACACTAGCCAGCTGGGAGTTGTACTCCAAAAAAGGAACTTTTTCATGCCCTGCTTTTGAAATTTTGAGAAAGGAGAAACCATTACAGAGACTAGCTAGCAGTAAAGGGGAAGATTTTTTAAAAATAAAAATAAAAATAAACTGCCTACGTATGTGTGTGTCGTGAGGAGATTTTTGTTCCCGGACAAGGCTGGCAGCTTTTGAAGCCTCGGGTTCTAGTATCTGCATGGACCTGAGCCTCCTGTTGGCCCCAGCATATGGAAGCCAAGAGTTCTGAGGGAATTATGAGACAGAGCTCAAAAGAAAAATCTCCCTGTTCAGTTAAACAGAACAGTTTTTGTTTTGTTTTGTAAGTTTCTGGAAATCAAATTTTTCCTTCTTACTTTGCTGGCAGTTTGTTTTGAACAAAGCGAGCAAGAAAGCCAGCACTGTGAGGCTGCTTGAATTGCGAGATAATGAGTAACTGAACTAAAGTCATCCAGATTAAATAACAGACTGTTACCGCTTACTGTCATAAATGCAGGCCCATTCTCAGGTCATAAAGGCAGAACTGCGATGAAGGCAGATATTAAATAAAAAGCTACATAGGCTGGTGATAGGGAACACAGGTTCTATCCATTTTCAAACCAGTTGCCATGTATATATTGTAATATGACAAAATAAAAAGAGGTAATGGCAATGTGCTGAAGTAGATATACAAGATATTTATTTTTCATAAAGCATTATAAGATTTATAGACAATGAAGTTGAAATCTGGAGGCATCTACAGGATAGCTGGTATACTGTCACAATGAAAGGGAGACATATGAGTTTCAGGTATAGGTTGGAATCTTGGTTTAGACATGATTCACTCTGTAGCCACAAACAAGCCCTTTTCTCAGACAGATTCCTGTTTGCACTAAATATTTTATTTCATTCATTCATTCATTCATCCAATTTCTATACTGTCTGTTCAGTAAGGAGCCACTACCCTGGTAGTTTACAGCAAAATTAAAATCCCACCCCCCCACCCCAGCCCAGCAAGCAAATAGTAAATTAAAACTCATATATCAAAAATAATAAAGGACAGTGGTAGTGAAGCCATGCGGTGATAACTGAAGTAGATAATACAGATGAGGCTAAACAGAACAACTACAGTAGGGGAAGAATGTTATTAAAGGTTTCTTTAAAGAGCTTTGCCTTAACTAACTTGCAAAAGATCTTGGAGGAGGGGCCTAGCAAATCTCAGCTAAGAGTGAGTTCTACAAAGACAGGGGCACCATCAAGAAGTCCCAGTTCCTATTTAACATCATTTGGGCTGACTTCAGTGTAGGCATCCGTAACAGCAAGACCTGAGAGGAATGGGTGAAATGGGCAGCTGTTCTTTGGGAGAGATGCTGTGACAGGTAGCAGGATTCCAAACTGTTTAGGGCTTTGAATATCAAAACCAAGACTTTGCATTTGGCACAGAAGCCTACAGGGAGCCAATGCAGGCTGGCCAGGATCAAAGAAATATGATCAAAATTAGATGCCCCAGATACTAACTGGGCTGCTGCATTCTTCCATTTGTATAGGTTGGAATCTTGGTTTAGACATGATTCACTCTGTAGCCACAAACAAGCCCTTTTCTCAGACAGATTCCTGTTTGCACTAAATATTTTATTTCATTCATTCATTCATTCATCCAATTTCTATACTGTCTGTTCAGTAAGGAGCCACTACCCTGGTAGTTTACAGCAAAATTAAAATCCCACCCCCCCACCCCAGCCCAGCAAGCAAATAGTAAATTAAAACTCATATATCAAAAATAATAAAGGACAGTGGTAGTGAAGCCATGCGGTGATAACTGAAGTAGATAATACAGATGAGGCTAAACAGAACAACTACAGTAGGGGAAGAATGTTATTAAAGGTTTCTTTAAAGAGCTTTGCCTTAACTAACTTGCAAAAGATCTTGGAGGAGGGGCCTAGCAAATCTCAGCTAAGAGTGAGTTCTACAAAGACAGGGGCACCATCAAGAAGTCCCAGTTCCTATTTAACATCATTTGGGCTGACTTCAGTGTAGGCATCCGTAACAGCAAGACCTGAGAGGAATGGGTGAAATGGGCAGCTGTTCTTTGGGAGAGATGCTGTGACAGGTAGCAGGATTCCAAACTGTTTAGGGCTTTGAATATCAAAACCAAGACTTTGCATTTGGCACAGAAGCCTACAGGGAGCCAATGCAGGCTGGCCAGGATCAAAGAAATATGATCAAAATTAGATGCCCCAGATACTAACTGGGCTGCTGCATTCTTCCATTTTCATCTTCAAGGGCAGCCCCATGTAGAGAGCATTGCAATAATCAATTAGTGAGATTACCAATGCATGAACCTTTAATGTCAGATATTTACTATCCATGTAGAGACATAATTAGGCAATATGCCAAAGTTGGAAAAAGGTACATCTGGCTGATATTGGCTTCTCCATAGAGAGAGGTGGGTCCAGGATTACACCCAGGTTACGGACCTGGTATTTCAGGGGAAGTGTAACTCCATATAAGTTGCCATATAACACAGCCTACCAGGTGAGCCTCCTAACAATAAGATCTCTGTTTTGTCAGGAGACAAAGACTGTTCTAAGTTGATATAATTAATATATATTTTTTAAAATACCAGGTGCCTATGGACATGGACATTCCAACTCCTGCCACTGCATATCATGACACTAGAATCATCGATGGTCCAGCAGGTAAGGATGTAAAATACGGTGAAAATTTCCAGAACTGAATGCTAATCATGTTAAAGTCGAATCCCTACTTAATTATCCCTCAGATATATAGTTCAAGACCTCTTGTGGATTTATATCTTAACACCTGACTGGATTCTAGATAGGTTGCAATAGAGCAGAGAAACACATGTGGATGCAGCAATTTCTAATATTGCGTTTCCATGGGTAACATCACTGTAGCTATCCAGATGTCAAACAATTTGCAAGAATCAGCAGAGGCAGACAGCTGGGTTTACACAGCAGAAGGTGTCTTTGACAAGGTGCTAATTGTCCATTTCTACCTCTTTTTTTACTTTTAGTGAAGTGACCTAGCAATATGGTGTTCTAGAGCTTCCTTAAAAGCTTTAAAAAACACTGCTCTCTTGGCAGCAGGCATTCAGCTGAAGGGAAACCTCACGCCTGACAGTGCCCTTTTGCCTTCAGATCAGGTGATCATACTGGGCAAAAAGAAGACAAAAGCAATGTCAGCCTAACTGGAGCATAGTTAAATCACCCCAACCGGATGAACAGAAAAAGATTATTCCCCACTAAAAAGAGATGATTCCATAACATCAGTTCCACATTGAGTTATACATTGGGACTCAGACCCAAAGACTTGCCCATATCCCTGCTACGGCCCTATTCACTTTCCTTTCCTTTTTTTTTTTTTTTTTTTTTTGAAAGGAGAAACATTTTCTTTAGGGAGGTGCCACGTTCTGCTCCTCTTCTTTCCTGGTGGAGGCTTCCACCCATGTCTTAAAGCAGAATGGGTGAGAGACAATACAATTTGCTGCACATGCAACATTTTAAAATTATGGCTCTGGTCAGTATATCCTGAGTTCATCTCAAAAAAAGGTAGCCTTTCCATGCTATAAAAAAAGAGAAGGGTTGTATTGCATCCTCTGAATGAGCACCAATTTTGTTATCTTTCTGATGAATTGAAACACAATGGCATGTGGCCAAGTGCCATCATCCTATTTCCCTCCACTTCCTCAAACAGTCCACTCAGGTGGCAACAGCTGGGCAGAAATGGAACTAAGGAAGTGCTACTGAAGAACAAGAAACAGGAATGTGTGTTAGAGACACAATTGGATGTCTATCTGAGAATGAGGATTTGATTGATGTAATGTTATATATATATGATTTAGTGACTTTGAAATCCTTCCTTTCACTCATGGACGGAGAGTCTTTGGGCTTTTGTATATTGTGCACTGCATATTTGAAATGGTCTGAAGACTTCTTCAATAAAAGTTTATTCTATATTTGCATTAACATGTTTGGGGACTCCACATCTGGCAGAAGTAGAACAAAAACATCATCAAAAATAAAAACTTTTAAATGAACACTTGAGATGGCAACACCTTTCCCTAGAAATTAGTTCTGTAAGAACTGAGCATGTTGAGTACCTATGGGATATAAATTGTTGTGGTGGAGAAAGACCGAAAAGTTGGGGTGGGGTGCATCATAGAAGGGAGCATCTTAGAGAAGGGTGTGGTGCATTGGAAATCTGGAACACAGACATGCTTTTAAGTGAGGACCCCTTGTAACCGTCCATTGTTCCTTCCCTTTGGTATACCTACCTTCTGTCTTTCAGAAGTGCCTGGATATGGGAACAAGGAGCAGGTCACATACAACATGGCCGGAGAACACGCCAACCATATAAGACCCCCCTCGAGAAGCTCCAGTAAGACCTCCTGGAAGAACTCCAAAGGCCCAGCAGAGAACAGAACAGCCATGGGGAGATCCCCAGTAACACCACAGACCTCCCCTTCTACACAGCGTTTCCAGACAAAAACCCACAGTAAACAGAACCTCAGGCCCAAAACGCCCTCTGCACTCTCCTTTCACAGTGGATCCCTTAAAGGGCCTGCGGGGAGGAAGGACGGTCTGGATAGCCCAACTTCCAAGGGAGCAGCCAGTCACCAAAAGGGAAGGCCTGGAGGTTCCTGGCAGCCTGCCAGCAGTGGCCAAGATGACATGGACGAGACCTACAATGATACAAGGGAATTAGCAGGCAGACACTATCGACTTCTGGGGACCCCTTTACTTGGATCTCCCCGAAGGGCCATGAAGGGGAACTGTGAAAACACGAAAGAGTCTGGGAAAGTTCCAAGTGCCCAGGAATCGCTAGCATCAAGTGGGCAGGATGTGAAAGCAGAAGGAAAGTCCTTTCAGGAGAAGAAAAACAGCCTCATCCCTGCCAATATCAAGGCTAAGTTTGGCACATCTATGGTGGAGAAACTGGTTTCTGAGGAGCAGGTAGGGAAAATAGGTATCCCACATTTCAAGAAGCTCAGTATGGTAGGAATGTCTCAGTATCCGCAACCAGTGTCCTTTTTCAGTGTGTAAACATCAAATGCCAAATTGAGAAGCAGCTTACTTATCACATCGCATGCCACTGGCACTAAATAGGTATTAAGAAGTACTGTAGTAGCAGCTGCAGCAAAAGCAAAGAACACTGATGTTTCTAATAACTATGACACCCAGAGTTGTGAGTGTAGCAAGCAGAAGAACACAGTTAATACTACTAGCAGCATACTGATATCTAGGATTGCTAGTAGCATTTATTAACCCGAAATAGGGGTTTGGGTACTTATCTATATACAGATTAGGGAAGTGCAGGGCGAAAACATTCGTACTGCTTTCATTTCAGGGTTTCTCAGGAGATGCTTCTTCCGTCTTCTGGTTTTTTTGGGGGGGGAAACAGTCCTTTGATAAATCTGAAAAGACCTGAATCTTTCAGGTTCTTTCATTTTAGTTTCCCTGTGCTGGTTTATAGCATTAGAGACAATTAAGCCCCACAGGACCCTCAAAACTAGTCCCAAAAAGGAGGGACAAGATCAAAAACAGCCGTCCACTCCAAAAGGGCAAACAAGAACAGTACCTATAAAAGAAAACCAATCATCCCCAGACTTAAATTCACATTTTATCATCAGGTCACCATCCTCATTAGTTCATCAGCCAGGAATACAACACGCCGGAAGGAGAAAGCGTAATCACCATCATAATCAAAATAAAACAACCAACACCTCCATAAAGGCAATATATCAAACCCCCAAAACCAGAAATCCCAAATGTGGCTGGCTGGGGAGACTTTGATAGGTTCAGTCGAGCAGCATGAACAGTAGTCCACCAGGTGAGGAGCAGACCTGCATCTTAGGCTACAGTAAAGAAAATGGGGGAGATCCCTCAAAAATCAATAAACTGAAAGCTAAGAAAAGCAGGGTCATTCTGAATATGGAAAGAAACTATAACCTCGCCTTCTGATTCTCACATTTTTCATATTTTGGAATGTCTCTATTGTAAAGCCATGAAAGACTCCAGGAAAGGGCCCCCTTCATGTTTTTCCCTGTACAGGTTAACTTAAAGTTCCACACTTATGTAAGCAAGACAAGTTTATGCACGAGTAAGTCCTGCTGAATTTAATATGAGTTGTTTCTTGGAGTATACATGTATAGGCTTGTGCTGTAAGGGGCTTACTGTAACTACAGAATAATAATGGATATTATTTCAATTATTAACTAAGGAGTTAACTGCCGATACTTTGACATCCATTTGATGTCAAATGGATAAGAGGACCTATTGATTAAACCATTGATACAGAGTAATTAAGACACCAAATTCATCACCGGTGATTTAGATAAAATCAACTTCTGTTAGGAGAAAACCACATGGTAACAAAATAGCAGCCAGTCGCTATTCTTAATCAATTACTAATTCTGGGCAAATACTGTCATGTTATAAACATTGTGATTGAGTAGCCAAGCTTTTACAATTCAGAGAGGTGAGGGAAATTCAACTCCATCACAGGTGTGTTTTCTTTCCAGGCACGTCGTACTCTCTGTGAGGCTGGACTGATTCAAGGGCAGAAACGACTCAGCGACTGGACATTCAAGCCAATAGAGAATCCCATGGCACCTTCACCTTATGCTGATTATTATGAACTAGGTTACAACCTGAGATCCAACATTTTCCAAGGTGAGACTTTTCTAGAATTACCTACTTACGCCCCCTTATGACTGTAGTTATCACTTTGCACTGGCATTGAATTTTGTACACATAACCCACTATAACAGCGCTAAAAATATTTTCTTTTACTTTTTATTATAAAATTTAATTAAATTAAAAAAAACCCAGCATTTTTTATCCTCTGTTCTGTACAAATGGTGAAAAACATATGTCACAACCCAGCGTCCTTGTGGGGAGCGCTTGGCCAGTGGATGGAGAGCAATTAGGGAGTCTGAATCTCCTTTACAACTGGGCAGAGTCCAAATGACCTCAGCCAGGAAGAATTACAGATCCCTTCTCACAAATCTATCCTAAAAGATACTTGCTTGCACTTAACTAGGTTCAGCAAGAACAGACACATGAGCTTTGTAGTCGCCAGATCTATCAAAGCTCAGGCAAATAGGACTCTGTAGCATTCTGTGGCCTCACAATCTCTTTGGAAGCAGGCTCAGCAGACTTGCTGTTCTAAAGACCATTCTTAAGGATTTTTAAGAATAATTTTTAATTGAAAAAATAAAGTTTTAGCCAGTTTGTTGCATAAGCAAAGCATAAGTTACATTTCCATAGAATATTGCAGTGGAATCTAGGCATCATTCACTAAGCAAAAATATAGCTACAAATACTAAAAAGCTTCTTTAAAGGTAGGCATAGGGTATAGCCCCCCTCTCCTCTCTGAGGTTCTACATTCCAATTCCCTTTGATCTAACATAAGGAAAAAAGATTCAAAATGGCTCCTAAGCCTCTCTATAGACTAAGGAACAGTTCACATGGCACAAACTCCGTTTTCTACTCTTTTGGCACCACTTCTTCGTCTCTCAAGGTGTTAACCAATAGACCTGCATCATCAATAGACGATTAGGAAAGTCCGTTCTCATCCCGCCTTCTATTCCCAGGAGAAATTTCCTTCTCCTCATCTCGGTTATAGACGATTAGGAAAGTCCGTTCTCATCCTACCTTCTGTCCCAGGAGAAATTCAGGTGTTTTCCTTCTCCTCATCTCGGTCTGGATCTAGACAACATGTTGTGTCTTCACGCCTTATCGTCTCTTGACATGGCTGGGTACAAGGAACCTTCCCATCGGCTCATCAAGAAAACATTCCCATTATACAAAATCATTTTTACACAGAACCATTATGGAACCATTTTACATTTCCTCATAACTACACAAACCATCTTCATACATGTTTTAACCCACATAATCTCAACCCTGACAACATATTACCACCCCCATACCATCAATTGCAGTGGAAGAGGAGACAACTGGAATATTGGGTCTTTGGAAAAGTATATATAAAACTATATAATCAAAAAAGATAGTAAAGGTTGCATAATAACAAAGAAAATGTTTGCAAAGTTGCCAGTTGGCTGGAAGTGCGGTGAGACAGCAAACAGTCTCATGCCTTTTATAGTGTGTCCAGAAAGGGTGACGTGTTTGCCTACTGGAGGTCATCTATTTGTCAGATAGACGGCAGAAATAGAAGCACCCATAAACCAGTAGACAAACACTTCGCCCTTCCTGGACATTCTTTGTCTGACCACAGAGTTGTAGTTCTTGAACAAAGGACAGGTTTCAAGGGAGGCCATTGAGCAAGTTATATATCAGGATGTTCAGTGCACTGTCTCTATGCCTAAACAAAGACAATGGTTTCCTGTGTCATTATGTATATGAATCCAATCAACGGGACCCTGTCACCCAGTCAGACCTTAATCACCACCACTGTGATGGAATTAATCAGTACCTATTGTCTTGTAAAGATCTTCTTCACCCCAGGACCAACACAAACTTCCAGCTAACAGTTTTAGCTCCCCCTGCCCCA